TTGCACGTGTATAAGCGTACGTTGCAGGTCTATTATTAAAACTGAGACATGACATAACATGCCATGGTGCTTAAGGCAAAAGTTTCCTAGGAGGCGAAATCTTAATATCTATAGTTACCTAGGGGCAATATGTAATTTTCAAGGTCCTAATGGGTTACTTATAAAAGAATACGTGACACTATTTTATGCAAGGATACGACGTCTAAGTGTTGGATGAATCTTGAGAGGCATCGAGCCAGAGCGGGAACAGCTGCACGCCGAAACGTGGTAAGTGAATATTTGTATCATTTATGAATTAGATATTTCAGAGAGTTTTCGGGCCTTGGATGTCAAACCTCGATAACGTTATATATTTCGACGGTCGAACCAAACGGTGCATAGACTTGGATAGGAAAGGAGAACGACCTTCATATAGCAACCAAATCGATTACTGCACATGCCCGTTCTCCGTTCTCGGTCCTGATTTGCAAAGGGAAAGCATTTTTTTTTCTAACTCAGACAATTTTTAAGGGATGCCTTCAATCAGTCCTCATGTGTTTCAGTCGTTGATTTACTCGCTCTTTGGGCTTATTCGTAAAGTATCAAGACAAACACTTTTAGAGAAATCTCCCCCTGTTAGTTTCGACACACTCTAGCAATTAAACAGCTCTAATCAAGCTTTCTATCTGCACCTTCAAATAAAAAACCAAACATGTATGTCTTCGTTTTTGGTAATTATAACATTTGAAAGATGTAAGATTTTTCCAGTTTCCAACTTTGACGCAATTGTTATCGCTCGCCCAGTTGATGAGATCACGGGTATGGGATATGCGTTACAGTATATGAGTAATGTTGTGGACAATCTGGATAAGACGATTCTTAGAGGCTGTCGTTTGCGATAGGGATTCCTTGCTCAGCCACTTTCCTTCCTCTCTCAGTTCTTCACAGTATGCAGTGCTGAAGCTAAAAATTATCCTGGTTCCCTTAATTGGGCGTATGATACAAATTAACTTATTGAGAGATTTAGAGATTGGAAAGACGTTGATATATTAGCTTCATCAAAACCCTTTACGTATATTCTGGAACCAGAGAAAACGCATTATGATGCTGGCTTCGATTTTTGTTATCTGTAAATATTCAAATCTGCAATAAAACTATGGGAACTATGTTTAGTGCTGAGAATTTATAACGGAACTGAATTTATATCTAAGAAGTTTATGGAAAGATCTTTACAATCTAATACGTCAGTGTCGACAATTTCTCAAATTTCTTTCGAGTCAAACTTCCTTCCTAGCAGTACGTACCCACTCATCAAAGTAAATTTTACGACATACGATTGTCATCGAGGCTCTTAACTATAAAAATGCCTTTTCAACAAAACTGGTTTGGATAAAAACGATCTGTTACGGAAGGTTGCAAAGACGAAATTCAGCCCAGTCTGCTGAGATGCCTTGAGAAATTAGATCTCCCGTGAGATCCCACACACAACCAAACAGGAACTTGTCTCGCAGAGCTCGCAGTTTATCACTGTTATCATTACTAGGTCGATATTAGATCGTATGTTGCTAGGATCAGCAGTGTCGTAAACCTCGCGTTCGTTTAAAGAGTGTTGAAGATGGTGAATTCTAAGCTTGGTGACGATGTGAACAAAGATATTTAATCGTGTTGTCACGAGCGTGATAAATAGAAAAGTTTCTGATTCAGCTTCCTCATAGTGCTGGGGATATTTTCGTCGTTCAAGACGAAAAATATATTTTCTTCACACGATATTTGTTTTGGACTGATTGAAAAAAAAATAAATGACCCCATAAGGGTCCCCACGCATTTCGCCTTAGAGCACATTTTGTGTCTGCAACACTGATAACATTTTTCCAATAGTCGTTTGATGAACGCCGTCGCATCTATATTTGTCATATTTGAGACTGCCAGTTTCACTAGCACTGTTTGGTATCAGTTGGAGCTGTAGACCTCTAACATTGGTAAGTTAATACTGAAAACATTTTGCAATAATGCAAGAAAGTCAGCCTTCTTCAGAGGTAGCCGCAAATCGTTTTGCCTTGATACGAACATCGGTAGAACTTATTTTAGAGATCGTGCGTTGCGGCGTTTCTTGGCTACTGTTCTGACAGTTTCTCTCATGAAGCTATCATCACCGAGTTTTTTGAAAAGCTCAGATCCCACCACTGTCACCATATGCGATACGAATTATAGCAAAAAAAGCATGTAAGTAAATGATATAAATCTTACGACCTTCATATAGTAACCAAATCGATTACTGCGCATGCCTGAGCCAACTTTCGCCGAGGCCTCGCCGAGGCCCATAACTGACACTACTAATGCTGACGGGAACCCGTCTAATGAATAAAAATTTAACATGTAAATCTTTCGAATGAGTAGTTATTTTTTGTATTGTTTTGATATTGTATTGATCAAAAAACATCTGCACTTTTAAGAATTAGTAAGTTAGGAAAACCCGATAGCATTTGCTACATAGAGAGAAGACGTCCTTTCCGTCCCGTAATTTGTTCGCCTCATAAACTGAAAATTGATTTTGCAGCAGTGACTTTAGAAATACGAAAGATGACATAAGGTGGACCAAACATCTGTTTTCTTTCCCTAAAGAGATTTCATTAAGAAATCCTCACTGCTTGAAATTTCAGATACCTTTTAAACATGAAAAACATTGGAATTTTTTTATTCTTCTTTTATTCGTGATCTCGTAAAGTTTTTATTGATTCATTTCATTCTATATTTCCTTCCTCTATTCCGGTCACTTTGACTCAATTTTATAACCTGGAAAGTTCAAATTAAGTGCCACGCAATTGAAAATTGATGGATCGTGGCTTTAGTTATTTCAGTTAACCCAAATTGATTGTTGAGAAATGCTGTGATGAAGCTGAAAACATACCGCGTAGGCATAAAAACGTTTTGCTAACAAATGGAACAGTTGCACTGTTTACGACTGTTGGCGTCTTGAAGAAACTCAACTGGGAAATCATTGATTTTTAAACTAACAACTGATACAATTAACCCCTGGCCCTTTTTTATCAAAAAAAGTAATACTCTATGGTTAAATTTACTGAATTTTGAGATTTCCTTCCTTCCTTTTGCCATAAATTGAAAGAAGGAACCAGATTGCATGGGAGTTTGAATAGCAATTTGGTCAACATATGTAGGCGTTTCAAAAGCCTGGAGCACTTCTCTGTTGCATTATGTTAATGGTTTTCAATCTAAAAACTGTTTCTTGCAAGTGTCATAAATACAAAAGCCTTGAGCTAAATTATCCCTTTCATTTGTGGCTATTTTGACAGTAAAGCGAAATTACTTACCACTCAATTTAACCTCAATTGTTATGAAATTCTTAGTTGGAGACGACAAACTATATCACTTTGTCTCCAGATTTTAGTCCGATTATTTGAGTTCCTTCCATGAATGCGTGTGTTCCTTCATCGGAAAGACAAGAAGAAACTGTTTATAATCAAAGTTTGGGTAAGTTCTATCTTTTTCTCACGATCTCAAGATATAGAGTTCGCCCCCATCACGATTCGGCTCTTTACCAAATGTTGCGTCTTGAGGCTTGTAAATCATTCGCTCAACTTCCAGCATCTATAACTTGCATTATTCAGGTACCACTCAGTCAAACAGAGACCTCTGAAAAACAAGGTTGTACTGTAGCCTCTCAATATTTAATAAGGAGCCACTCAGTCAAACAAAGACCTGTGGAAAAAAAGGTTGTACTGCTAGCCTCTCACTATTTAATGAATTAATCGTTCGTCGCCCAAAAGTATCAATCGATAAATCAGTCTTATGAATTTTACCGCTTAAGTTGTGTAAAATCGAAAATTGCCCGTGAAGAGTGTGAAGTAGTGCACGAATCCTGTCCCTGTTCAGAGTATCGCCTTATCGGTTTTCAAACACTTTGTTCTCTACATACTTCTAGTATCATATCACGTGATACTTATCTCAGTCCTTATGGCAAAATATAATCAGACTTTTCCCCTCGATTTTCCATGTAAGTGACTTATTTTTAAGTCATATATTTTTTTTGTTTCCGCGTGCCTAACCTAGCTGCGAATATCTTGCAGGTTTCTTTCTGTTGAGCCGGATAAAAAAAACCTATCAACATTGTCATGAACTTGTCATTTAAGAGTTTCATACTAAGATGTTAATGGCTGGCTTCACTATCAGTTTCCAGTTCTTTGAACTGTTTACGGTCGGGTACAATTTCTACGATTTGCCGACATAGAGAAAGCTTTGAATGTTTTTATTCTGTTGGTCTTGTAGGCAATTATTTTATTGACATGTCTGTTTCCCCCACGAATATTAAATAAACACCTGCTTTTTATGACATTAAAAGTCGAGGGTGTTGTAAAAGTTAAAATTCTGAACATTAATAGCCTACTTTAAAATATACCAATTCTCATTGGTCAACAATGAATGTACAAGTAGGTTATAAATGTCCTTTGGTTTGGTTCCTCTGAACCAATGAGTTGCCACCACAAACTCAATTGTTTATTCGGAAGTGTTTGTAATTCATCACAACTTAAATACAATCATATACGAGTATGCCAACTATGGAGTTATTTATATACTTTATAAGGGTATATACTTCTTTCAATAAATATTACCAACAGTAATGAGACGATCAAATTAGTTTTATTCATTTAGAAATGTAAAAGCTTCGACAGTTTCTCCTGGAATTTCTAAACGATGAAATAAATCTATGATAAGGATTTTATAATGTATCTACAAGTCTTTAGTTCAGCTCTGCTTCGTTTTGGAACCAACGTGAAGCAATTCGGTGTCCACAAATTATTCAGAAATTTTCAAAACGGGCCACTTGCAAGTTTTTTACGACAGAGAGGGCGTATATTTCCATAACCTAAATCACTTTTCGCCTGTTGGTTAGTGAAATGGTTGATTTCGTATACACCCTGTAACCTTTATTAAATAACTCTTACTGAAATTAAGAGTTTACAATTTTCTTTCGTCAAGGTTCCAAGTCGCTAAAAATTTAAAGTATGCAGCAAGCTTCAAACCAAAGCGGTCAGGAGGCATTTTTGTGGCACAAGGATGGTTACCTGGCTTATGGCACTGTCATGTTCTGCATCCTAACCATTGGTTTTGTTGGCAATGGTTTAACTCTTATTGTTTTGCACCAAAGAGAACATCGTAACCGTGGTGTAAACTCTCTGATGATGAATCTAGCCTTGGCGGACATTTTCATCGTCGCTTTAGGTTACCCGATAGCAATTCAAGCCAACCTTAGGGGGAAGTCTCTGGACAGGTCTCGATGCATCTGGTCTGCCTTTGTAAACGGTACCGTGGGTATAGCGTCCATCGCAACTCTAACCGAAATGGTTTTCGTTCCGTATTATGGCCTGAGGCAAGTCAACTCTGATACTAGACTATCGGTGGGACAAATCGTATGTATGATCGCTAGCGCCTGGTTGTATGGGGGTCTTTGTATGGCTCCACCTCTTTTGGGCTGGAATAGATTCGTTCTTGCTGCCTCTAAAGTGAGTTGCTGTCCTGACTGGGCAGGAAGATCAGCTTCGGACACAGCCTACAGTCTTCTCCTTGTTGTCTTAGGATTTTTTCTTCCGCTTACTGTCATGGTCCTGTACTACTACAAAATTTACCGGTAACTTGAATTTTTGTGTTCATGGGTAAGGTAATTCACTCTCACAATGCCTCCTCCTCCCTGGGGAACATGGATGATTATAAGTGCACTTTCGAGGAAACTTGACTTAACAGTAAGGGCGAGGCTTACCTGCTGTCGGTAACATCATGTCCGGGCGGAGTAGCAATGCTCCTAACGCTGATTCATGCTACAGAAATAGCGATTCGCTCTGGTCAAACAAACTTGAAATACTCAGCTGAAAGTAGCTCCTTTATTTTTGAGCCATTTAAATACATATAACTCGCTGAGAGTGGAGGCGCAGTTGCCTCATGGTTAGTGCGCTCGACTTCAGATGGAGTGGTCCGGGTTCGAGCCCTGGCCGGGGTCATTGTGTTTTGTTCTTAGGCAAGACACTTTACTCTCGCAGTGCTTCTCTTCGCCCAGGTGTACAAATGGGTACTAGCAAATACGCTGGGGGTAACCTTGCGATGGACTAGCATCCCATCCAGAGGGGAGTAGCAATACTCCTAGCCGCTTCATGCCAAGGAAACCGGAGTTAAGCGCCGGCCCCATGGGCCAATTGGGCCTGTATAAAGGCTTTACTTTACCTCGCTGAGGGTTTGGTAATCTCTTTAAAGAGATTTAAGTGTACATCGTTTCTAATTTTCTCATCTGTCTAAGAGATTAATGCACTCACCTTTTGTATAATCCTTCTTAACTTCAGACAAGTAAAAGTTTGTAATATCGTATTTGATAACTTTTGATAGTTTGGGGACTTACGAGACCTATGCCTTGTTCCCCTCTTCTGGTTGAAAATGGGTGATTGTTACATAATAATCTTATTAATATACTCTCTGCTAACAAATGCTGAGCTTTCTGCCTAAAATGTGATTAACTATTGATTTTTCTAGATAGGATCTAGGTGAGGGATCTCAATGTGGTTTAACCATTAGCCGTAAAAATGCTGAAAAATTAATCTTAAGGCATGACGAAACCGAAAAATCTAGCAGTGAACCATGAAACTCTTTAAACAGCCGTAAAACGGCGCAAAACCAAACCTTAAAGCGCGTAAAGCCACAAAATTTAAAAGTTAGCTGTAAGCGCCACTACCTAAGAGATTATAAACTGTTTATAATTTCTCACCACCACCCCATTGATACCCTCAGATAATAATTCATAGGGATAAGCATTTTACAATCTCAAACTCTCAATAACCTCTCTTCCTATAGACTTGTTCATCAAGCAATTGTGCCAGGAAACATCGCAGTGCAAATGAGACGACGGTATTCCAAACTAAAGATAGTGCGCATGACAGCGTTATCTGTGGTCATTTTTGTGCTAAGCTGGTCGCCATATTGTTTAGTCAGCCTCTTTGCAGTGTTCACCGGGAGGCATGTAATAACATCCGGAGAGGCGGAAATTCCCGAGTTGCTGGCCAAAGCGTCTGTCATCTACAACCCTATTGTGTATACCATCAAGAATCGAAGATTTCGAACAACGCTGCTTCGTATCTTTCACGTAAGGCGGGTTAGAAACAAAGTGCATTCGTTAACGAATCAGTCGCGAAGTAGAGATATCCTTCAAAATAGCACGCGTTGCTATGGAAGCAAAACGAGTAAAGGCCACAACCCTATACACATCATGAAGTTAATTCCACGAGGTCCTCTTGCAGAACGGGTCGAGCATCTACATCCTCCAGGAGTTTAATTAGAGGCGCTAGACTCTTGAGAGCTGATTTCGATACATTATATGGGTTCAGAGAAGCCGTGTATAGATTTAACAGATAGATTCCAAGTTGCCGTGCGTTTGTTCAGTAATAGATCACGGATGACGTCAAAATGTGGTAAGAACAAAAAAGTGGCACACGAGGCGCAGTCGAGTGTGTTACTGATGTTCTTACCACATTTTGACGTTCTGTGATCTATTACTGAACAGACGCACGGCAACTTGGAATCTATTTGCTTTATATAATAAAGAATTAAAAAAAGTTTTAATAGTGACGTCATCTATACGTCTGTCCTCCAATAGATCATAAGTGAGAACCAATCAGAATGCGTGCATAACTGAGCTTATTATGTAAATTAATATGGACTGGTAACTAACTCTATAGCTTGGCAGCTTTTCAGCTTGTATGCTCACTTAAAATAGAACAGAAAGATTTTTAGCGGTCTACGATCTAAATTCGCAACTATAATCAGAGTAGCTTTGGTTCCGTCATCATTTAATAACAGTGTTCTTGGTTTCAATTGTATCTTTAAGTTATTCGCTCCTATATGAGTGTATTCTACTACTTTATTTATTAAATATCAACTTTGAGAGAGAATGTGAAGTGCCTTTTGATTTTAGCTGACTCTTTATTCAATGAATACTCTAAGAGTCTCTTTTTTCTATTTCTTACCGGTTGATAGATGCGTTAGGAATGAAGGATTTTTCGAAAGTAATTTGTCGAAGCGTTTGCTGGCGCAACAAAAGCGTGTTTGTTAAACAATATGGAATATTTTTTATTCTTTTCTTAAATAATAGTCATGTTTCGCTTTCTCATTTGTTTCTCAATAGTACATTTAGGTACTTTAAATCAAGAAATTTTTGCATTTTCGTTCCATTGGGATTATCGATTCACTTGACTGCAACATCCATTAAGAATCCATTTCTTTTCATTTACAAAATCTATTTGGTTTATTTTCATTCCTCTTCTCGTCAAATAGCGTTCAGTTCCTTTATTTACCTCATATGTATCTATTTATTTACCGATTTGTGTATTTCTTTTTGTGGACTATCATCTGTTTTGCATCATTTAGTAATATTCAAATCTTCGGATTTTTCTTGCGCTCCAACATTACCATAATAATTGACAACACGATCACCCACAAACCCACTTCATGCCATGCAAATGAACACCATATTGTGAACAGCATTTGCTTCAGAGCATGAGCTGAAACACTCTCGAAATCTCAAAAACAAGATTTATGAAATATCATAAAGCAACGTAAGTAGTGGTTACATAGAAGACTACTTTGAAAACAAATAATGGCCAACGGATTGTACGGAACTAACTTGAATTAGCGCCATGTTATCTGATCTATGACCGGATTTTCTTGATACTTCAATACGTCAACAAATGTCCGGCCAAACTCAATTAAGCGACTTTGATAAAATACAGTGGTGTTAAACACATGTCCTCTTGTAAATTACGTTAGAAAAATCCAAGTTCTTAAATCAACTGCATTCAGTTTTACATAATAAGGTAAGTTTAAGGTTGTATCCATATCTAGTTTTTTCTGTTTCTCATTTAAAATTATATCTAAAGCAGGCAGACTGTTTCGTGTTTTACAGTCAAACATGATGGTATGAACAAGTGATACACAGCATTAAAACTTCCCACTCATAAACCTTTATGGTTTTAGAGAAGGAGTTATATTTACATTCCCCTATTATTTATCAAACTTGACTTAAAACAAATGGCTGATTGCTGTCCTGTCGGTTTTTTGCATGAATGATTTGATTAGAGTCTTTTTTTTTACCACAAAACAGAAAGTTCGTGTTCAGGTTATTTGATTAGAGCGATAGGTTTGTGCGCTTCTGCGACGTGTTAAAGGAGACGAAAACAAGATACTGAGCGCTAGACACGGAAGAAGAAAAATCTTATTACATGCCCAGTAGGTAAGTTATAAACGTCTGGTGAAGTTTCGGCTTCTTCAGTTTGTGATGGTTTTGCTGTGACTATTTTTCGCTCCTTTTTAATTTCTCGCTGTCAAAAATGCGTGAAAAAATTTCTTAAAAAATGCCCTTTTATTATAGATGCTAAATTTTATCCCTATCATTTTAAGCTGTGAAGGTAAACTTTGAGCAAATGTCAGCGAATAACAAAAGTTTTCAATCATGCATTTGTCACTAGCGTGTGACAAAGAAAAAGTCTGAATCGTGCCTCAGTACTTCAGTCGGACATTGGGGCCGGTCAGTCTCTTCACTTCTCGTATGGGCCATTAACTACTTTCACTTGCTTTTCAGACCACTTGGTCTTACTTATCATTTTATTTTCGATATGAAGTACTCTCGAGTTATTGTCCCGCTAAACACTTACCGAACTAAACGGCATTTTTAAGAACATTCAACAAGCCCTTCGTGGAACGTTTATGAAGGAACATCAATAACATTTCAGCTGCTTTCTTTAAATGTTTCCGATGAAAAGCTATTTATTTGATTTATGATGAAGCTTTTGGCAGAGAGAAAAATTTACCGCTGATTCTACGTCCGCCGTCTGGTTCTAATCCTTAAAAAACACTTTTTTCATCAATAAATGCAAATATAATTTCTTCAGTATATACCACCGACTGATAAGTGACAGACGGCATAAGCTGCTTGCTTTGGCTTACTTAGTATTTGTGGTTTAAAAATCTATTTGCTAATCCTAACTTTAAGCTACCAAACGAGGAGTCTATTCTCTCTCCTGAGATAAGCAATTACAGCAATTTATTTACCGGAGCTATTTTTATGAACAAACATAGTTTTCGTGTAGATGAGACTGTGATAGCGTTTGAATTCGGTGGCGAACAAACATGTGGCGAGTTTTTTTAATTTTCTGTTTAGTTTGACGGTGAAAAATTGAATTGAGACCTTAAAATCTAGCGCCCTAACACTAGGTACAAATCCACCACTTGTCAATAACTCATAACGAATATCAGTCAGAGATTAAATACTGTGAAGCTGACATGAATATAAAAACCTTATCTACGTATCTCCCAGCAGTAGGTTTTCTGCACGCAAACAATATAAAAAGATGTTTACTACATTTTTTGTCAAGATAAAACATGTGTTCTAGCCAATCAGAACAAGTTTAAAACCTATTGTTTTCTGTTTTTTTATCACTTAGTTTAGCCTAAAAGCTGACTTGAACTTTTATTCAAGCATGTTCAAACATGCATGAAAAAGAAGACTTCTGACACAGTCCTCCACTGTCGAGAACCTCAGGATCGCCAGAAGTTCTTTCGACTGAGTCGCTACAGAGCCTAACGGTGTTGGAAACTTTGCGATTGAATGCAGGGTGTCGAAAGCCAAGGCAAATATCAAAATAACCTCTCCTATTTCTGCGATAAAGCAAAAAAGGTAACCATTACAATAAAGAAATTCAGAGTTAAAGTTACTAAGCTTACAACCTCCAGTCTATGGGTTTTAGGCTGGTGATCGAAAACTTTAAGATTTTGATGATTTTTAACGAGAGACCTCTTCAAATGAAAGATGACTTAACGGCCTCGGTACCACCCACCATCTGCACCGAGATGAACAGATGCCGACTTCGACGCTTCAGGCGCTGGATAATTTTATTGGTAGAGCAACTGATTCGTAAGAAAAGGCGTTTCACGAACCAATCACGATGTTCAGTTAAATAAAACCAATGAAATAAATGTGATATCACCTTAAACACAAAGAGAATCGTGTAGAAGGATTTGAAGATGCGTCAACTCTATCAAAGGGTTGAAACGCAAAATACGCCAGCAAGGCCATGCAAGTGTCAGGCTAAGCGTACGCGAGAAATTAAGGCATGAAACGAGGAGGGTCTACCGATAAAGCCATTTGTTTTTTTAGAAACTAATTAGCGCTTTGCATTTTTATCTAGTTTTGAGGTCGAAACATGGAGCGAGCTTCAAACCAAAGCAGTCAAGAGATATTTGTATGGCATAAGGATGGCTACCTGGCCTATGGCATTGTCATGTTCTGCATCTTAACCATTGGTTTTGTTGGCAATATTTTAGCTCTTCTTGTACTGTACCAAAGAGAACATCGAAACCGAGTTATAACCCCCCTGATGGTCAACCTCGCGTTGGCAGATATCTTTATAATCGTGTTTGGATATCCGATGGCAATCCAAACTAATCTCCGGGGGAAGCTTCTGGATAGCAAAACTTGTGTTTGGTCTGGATTCGTAAACGGTGCTGTTGGTATATCGTCTATTATCACACTTACTGAAATGGTTCTAGTATCCTACGTCGGTTTGAAGCATGTACGCCCTACTGAACGACTGACAGGGCCGCAAATCGCATGTTTGATTTCCATGGCATGGATTTACGGAAGTCTCTGCATGCTTCCTCCTCTGTTAGGGTGGAATCGGTTTGTTCTTAACGCTTCTAAAATAAGTTGCTGTCCTGACTGGACGGGGAAGTCAGTTGCAGATACAACTTACAATATCTTCCTGGTTACGATGGGTTTCTTCATTCCTCTTACCGTCATGGCAGCCTGTTACTACAGAATTTACAGGTAAATCAGAAGGTCTTTTTTCCCCCATATTTTCTCTATTAAGCTCATTTTTTTGATGACTACTCTATTTTGGCACTCAGTCATAGACTCCTGTGGCCATTACTTGTGTTTTTGTACAGCTGGCAGTGCCCGTGGCCACCATAAAGCGAACCTAATAATTTTAGGAGCCGGAATGTCGGCGCTAGGTTTGCAAAAAGCGGGAAAAGACAGTCAAAACAAGGGAAACATAAATGAATCTCACGGGGTTTTGTGTCATAAACACTACTGGCTTTCTTTCACGCCTCTCAAAATAAAAATTTCATTCTTGATTCTTCTTTAAGTGAAATATTTTGCTATATAATAAGCTTTCTCGGTCAAGGTGGCAGAATATTAACCCGCTTTTTTTTGCGTCTCGGTCCAGAAAAACGCAAAATAAGAACTCAGCCAATATCCAGCCATCTTGACCTCACGCTTGGGCAATGATGCACATAAATATTGCTTTAGTTATAGAGATGACAGTAACTTGATCATGCTTGCGACACGTGATATTCTCGTCGTAAACTGCAAGGAGTTGATAGTATTGCTTTATAGAGGCAAAAGAGTCATAAATTGTCTTGCACCACTAAATAAATAAGATGTTTCCAGATATATGCGATCAGAATTCTGGCTTAATTTCGAATAAGGGTTGTTGTGGAAGGCGCTTTCTTGAGATATGGTATGAAGGGATTCTTTTCGTGGGTATACTGGTGTAAATTGTAAAATGTTTTTCTACTTTTTCAGGATTGTTCATCAAGCCATTGTTCCAGGAAATATTGCAGTGCAACTGAGACAACGGAACTCCGAACTTAAAATAGTGCGCATGACAGCAATGGCCGTGACTGCTTTCGTACTCAGTTGGTCCCCTTATTGTTTCGTCAGCCTCATTGCAGTATTTACCCATAGACCTGTTTTAGCATCAGGGGAAGCGGAGGTTCCCGAGTTGTTAGCCAAAGCATCCGTGATCTACAACCCCATCGTGTATACTATCATGAACAGTAGATTTCGAGCAACACTTCTCCAAGTGCTGCGCTTGCGCAGGCGTCAAACTCCAGATAACCGCATCGTAGTATTTCCAGCTCGTGAACGAAGTCGAAACGATCTTTTAAATCACGACAATGTGGAAACAGATAAGAATAAAAAAGAGGTTTACAAAGGACAAAAACACCTACAAGTAACTTCCACTTTTGAAACAAGAGTTCAAAAAACTTTCATTGTCGAACAAATATAGAGACGATGATGTTACCACCAACAGAAAATCAGTCAAGTGCACTGTAACGCCACCATATTTCTGTTTGGTGGACAGTAAACGTTTTGCAAACTTTTATACGACAAATACAGGTGGTAGGTATTTTCCTCAATTCGGAAATCAGCGCTCTCTTTTTAAGAAGATTCATCCAGATGTGATGAGATATATTATTACTGCTGAAATATCCAAAGGAAACAAAGAAGAGCAAAACCTAAGGAATTGTGCCTTGATGATGTAAAATTAGATTCTTATATATGATGTTATGATAACTTTAGGATATTCAGTAACATTAGACAACGAAATATATCTTTGGTGCCGCGGTATCGGAATTATGAAACTCCTGTCGCCATACTCGCGGGGCAACTGTTATAATCCACCCGAAAAAACTGTGTTACATTTGCTGCTCGGGTGCATTCATTCAAAAAACGTAACAATACAGACCTACGTATTTACCCAAACCTATTTCGGCCGATAAACTTCGGTTTGCATTCCCAGAGTTTCAATTTCTGGTAATGATACCGTAAATCATAGCTGACGGCTAACTTCAACGATCAACTTCAGATTAAACGAAATTGGACCGTTTGGTCCTATGGAAACAAAAGCACTCCAGTTGAAGAAAATCTCAAAAAAGTGGGCTTATCATACGAAATTAAAAAGTTGCAGCTATTTTTCAGTAACCCAAAGAAATTAAGCTGTTTGAAACGAGGAAAAATCCACTAACAGTTAATCAGTGACTTCAGGTTCTTTTTATTATTGGCGGCAGAATATTGAAATTACACTCGGAACGAGATCGAACAGGGTAACACTCCTTCATACCTCTAAATATGAATATTTTGGCAACTTCACAAAAAGACTTGTCTGACAAACAACCTTCTCCCCCCCTCCACAATTTAAATCAATCACTAAGTTAGTAACACGCTGAAAAATCAAATTACGCCGGTAAAAGCAAACCTAACTAATTCAAATTAATGGACAAATAATCCTAGCAAAATGTCATATTAAGCTATCGGTGTGTGCCCCATAATTTCTCAAATTCTACAATTTTCCTTTGGTCCATACGCCATCTTTTTTGATTTGTCCAAATTACAGTGTAATGACATATTGCAAACTAATGAAACAACTCGTAACCAAGCCCCTCTCGTTTCTAAAGTAGTCACAATCACTGAAAGCTACGCGGTGCGTGTGTTCTAACTTTCCCTTTGTCAAACCATTTTATTTATCAAGGGGCAAAAATGCAATAAACAACATTTATGATTAGCATGATTTTTATATTTACATGGGGCTCGGTGGTTTTGAGATCTCCATTTCTGTTACCGACGATGTCGTTTTTTGGGCCAAAAGCGGAAATCATATCATCCAAAGCTTTGAGAACTTGCTCTGTGGTTGGTTCGCCATCCCAGCAAACTCCGTCAAGGCCCACGCCTGTCAGTATGTCAGGGACATCGTTTACTAAAAAGCCTCCACTTACCATGAAAAATCCTTGAAGGTCGCATATCTGACGATAATGGTTTTCCTTTGGATTCTCCATCATGTAACTCTTGATTTTTGACAGATCAGCGGCTGTTGTCGCTAATCCAGCTGTAATGGTGAAATTTTTTACGGCCTCAATCAGATCTTGTATTTTATTGTCAGAAATATGGTCTCGAACCTGCTTGAATTGTCCCTCTTTACGATCCACCCAGTGTTCAAGAAAACCAGTGCAGTTTAGACTAGATTCTTTTCCACATCTGACATCATCGATCGGAGGAGGCGATATCTGGACTATCGCAACGTTGCCTTCTTTATGGACTCTCTGCAAGTTATCGATCTCTTCGTCAATAATTGTCGAGCAATTTTTCTCTCCGAACAATGGCCTCTGGCAGACAAGAAAGCCTACGCTGGATACACTCTTCATACGGCAAGCAATCTTGTCTTCTCCTTCAGACGTCTCAGCGCAGAAAGTGTTGTAGTTAATGTTGGGCTTCACTTTATCGATCTCTTCTCGGGCAGTCGCGAAGTCGTCTGCAAATGCCAAGGCTATCACGCCAGCAAAGAAACCCAAACCGAAGTAACATTTGTACATGATGTTTTTGAAGTGACTTGAATTGCCTGTTATATTAAGAGGTTATTGAATTGCAAATTATTACAATGGCCTGAAATCCAATTTCAAGAGCAAGAACGAGAACTTACAGTAACAGCTCCAACAAATAAGAGTGAAAGCGAACTCGAACTGCAGTTACGTAGCTTATCTTTGCTTCCGTTTGAAATCTTGTTGATCTCAAATTCTCAGAAATTAAAGTTTTGTTCGTAGACTTGCGTAATGACATTGGAATGTTTTTCCTGTTTTCCTTGAAACAAAAGGATGTTAAGCAACGTTAATTCTTGCTGTAACTCCACACCAAATATATCCAATGACTTCTTCCTCGATAAAATAGCGACTCACCAGCTTTCCCACAACAGTTAGCTTCCATTTCATTTAACACGCGATAAATTGGCGAAAAACGGGAGTCCTTTACCGTGGCTTATAGAAGGTCTATTATTTGAAGTCACGCGTGATTTCCTGCTGTGATTGATGTTATTGTGCAAGACCAGAGTAAAGAACCATTACAATTATTTTTTGTAAACCATGCTATTTTTCTTAATATACATGCAAAAATTCAAAAGAAAGTTTGCAACGAATTTATTGTATGATAAGTTCTGACATGACAAGCGAAATATTCCCCTCCTACTTTTTTAACTTTTCTCTTGAGATTATGGTTCGTTTTCACCAAAGATCATGTTCACATGTTTCAATAGCTGGTTTCTTTGACTCCTGTGGCACACAGTTATCAAAGATTCGGCGTTGATCAAAGACTCTCAGCTAATTTATCCAGAACGCAAATGATTTCGAAACCTGAAAAAAAAGTTAAAGAAGTATTAGCAATAACAAAATGGAAGAAAGAAAAGAAAGCACAAAGAAAGCGGAAGCAATGAACAATAATGCCCCGAGGTGTTCAACACAGCTAGGAACAAGCTTTGGATTCGTTACAGACACTGAGCGCATGGAAATTACTAGGTTTAACTAATTTTCATGTATATTGTTATGGATGCGTACGTGCACGTATTACTGACATCTCTCTTATTAGACGTTTTGGCGTGTAATATCGGCAAATATTTTTACAAGTTATGCTTTTCTTTGAGGAGCCCTTAAGGTGAGTCAAAATACAAACAACGAGTAAAAATGCTCAACGATACTAAGCATCAAAACGTCTAATAAGTAATTTTTATCCTACTGCTTTATTTTATGTTCATTTCTTTTTAAGGTGGAAAAGTAGAAGTCAATAGAGAATCGGATTGAGACAGGTCCTATGGAAGCCGTAATGGTGCAAAATTCAACCGATCAAAATGCTGCCAACATCAACATTTATTATTAAGGTCAACGATAAAATTTGTCCAACTTCAACCGCTAATATCAATATCAACACTCCAAACACATTAAATCCAACAACCAAAGTAACTCAACATCAACACAAATTCTTCTAGTCTGCAGCCCCTGCGAATCACATTAAAACCAACACGGTATAAAAGCTTCAAGTTCAACAACTAAACACATTCAACAATTTGGGTACGAGCGACTGGAAATGGCCGAGGGATCTTGGGACTTATATTTTTATCCCGCTCTCACAGCAGTCGCCATATTTAGCGAAGATATCACTCTCGAGCAGAGGGGCATTTCGTCTGCGTATGCATTTATTTACTGACGATCCAGATGTGCACATGAGACAACAAACCTTGAAGGTTAGTCTTAAGATGTTGTATGTGGAGACGATCGTGAGATATTCGTTACGATGATAGAAGGTAGTTTAGAATTTGATCTTTTTTTACTTCAACTCTTCAACTTTGGAATAAAATTGCGTTAAGTTCGAGGTGACCCCCAAGCTTCAATCACTTCAAATAACGTCGTCTTTTCTTTCTCTTTGTAGTCATATAGAACACAAAGCTTTAAAAAAACGTTCCAACTTCAGGGCTGAGTCGCTCTTACTACGACCTTTGGCGATTTCGTTTTTGGGAGGTTGAGATGGATTTTCCAAGTCATGGCCCACAACTGTCTTTAGCCTTTTTGCTCTCCAAGTCTGTTGTACATGATATGTAGGCATGTGTCTTAACAACGGTTATAGTCTTGCCTCAATAATCTTCGGTTTTAACTTATTTTGTTGCTGTGTTTTGGTGAGAATTTTCCTAATTGCCTTTTTGAGCTTGAAGTGCTGACTAAAGGATAAACTTCGGAAGAACTTATTTATCACATGGGCCCCAAATCCCTCACCACTGTCAGTTCGTTGTCAAAAAGCAAAAGATTGTAAAAGCGAGTATTTTCTTGCGACAACTACATGTTTCGAATATTTTATGTGTACGGAGATTTTATTTATTTATAGTTAAATTTAATTTACTCTAAAGTTGTGCCAGTGGGATAGACTGTAAATTAAAGAACAATATAAGCGACAGGCCAATTTCAGCTAAAAACACGTCGACCGGAGCTGGTATCTTTGTAGACAGCGATTTGTTTATTTAGCACTCGAGAAAATAAACTCAAAAACTTTACCTAAAACGGTGGTTTGTTCACTTAAAAATAAAGGTAGGGTAATTTTAAGTTAAAATTTGATATATTTAAATGAATGGAAACAGAAGTAGAGACCAAACACGTCGAGTTTTGTCCCAATAGCGTGTGACTTGCAATAGGAGTACAGCAAAGAAAATGGCTGAACTCCGTGAAAATGCACGCTATATATTTTGGTCTGGCGCGCTCGCTTTTCACGGGCCATAATATATAAAAAATAATATTTTTACATGATAAAAACGAAGAATTGTTCGTTGAAAATAGCTCCTTTGATTTATATACATTCGTATACCCCCGATGTTATGGTCGTCTGAAATATGGCAAAATTCAGCGTACAGACAAGAATACAAAATATAGTGTACTTTACGCGGGTGGTTACAAACGAAAGAAAGTTTAGTTGGAGATGAAATATAGTTGGAAAGCTATTACAAGGGATGAAAAACAACTTATAAAAAATTGAATTCAAGATTCTTGTAAGAGCGTTGTGAAAATGCACTGAAAGCCCGATAGAAATTATGCAAATTAGGTACATTTTGGCCGATTTCGAACTTGCGTAAATTTTTGCCAAAATAAAAACTCGCTGGAACTTTTGAATATTATTTTTGAAAACAGTTCACCAAAAGGGTCGTTTGGAGCAAATAAAAAAAAAGTTGAATTTTTGCTCTACACACATACATTTGCTTACTACATAAGCCCCCTGAACAAGAAACAAAGCTAACAACTTCAAAATCATCAAAAGGGTAATTAATTGAATCCACCAATTAGGACTGACCCCAACACACCCCTGTTCTCTTAAAAAAATCTTCCTTCTCCTCTTCCCCCCCCCCCCCCCACAGGCGAGAAATAATGACTGCTCCCTTACCCCAGCCTAAGTTGCGGAGCGATATTGCTTGCGTGAGATGAATGAAAATCTGGGGAATGTTAATAAGCTGAGAAGGGTCTCTAAACTTGCTTAAATCTAGAAGGACATATATATATATACACCAGTTTTTCCGTTGTTTTCTCACTCACTCAGTTTTTATCGGAAGAAAAAAAGAATGAGCTCATTTGGTTATCAGATCAGGCACTGAATTCAATTAAAATCAGCAAATCTGAGAATGTAAACAATTTTAAAGTCTTGTTTACAGGAAATAATCATTCCTTTCAATTCCACACTTCCTTTACTATGATGCTTATCACACCAAACTGGTTGATCAGGAGTCTTAGCAATGCATTCCCTGCGTATTATGGTATTATTCCTACTTTATTCCTGTCTTGATAAACCAAAAGAGAGTGGAGTACGATTAAGAGACGATCAAGCAAGTTCGTTTACTTTTAAATTTTACGATCAAAGGACCTGTAAAAAATGGATGGACTTAAGGAATAGTGTGTTAACAGGCAACTCAAAGCGACTCAGGGTCGTATTTTAATTGGGTCTATGCAACGACAAAGTGAATTTGCTTCTGTCTTTGTGGAAAATATGGAGTCGTGTTTCAGCGAGGTGACGTTGTCCGAGGCATCGTGATAACTGACGAGGTTTCCTTGTGTGTCACAAACCTGCTTCACCAGTCCCCAAAAATTACACTATACATGGGAAAACACTGAAAATATACCTTAACATTAATGTGATAAACTAACGGATGGTTTAGAACGGTTATCTGCATGCAAACCGCGTAAGTGCTCTTCCTAAGGAGTAATTCTCTGGTGGATGGAAACAGCTTTTGGACACATACACAATCTGAGATAACGAATGGCTCGAATGTCTAACGGCTTTAGCAACCAGAAGCAAAAAGCCGAAGCTTACCAACGAAAGGAAACAGTGAACATGACAAAATTTGCCTTATTAGCTCGTAGATAATTTACATGAATTGAATTTGCATCAATGACAATAGGTACTCTGTCATGTTGAATAAATGCAAACCGCGCCGGATTTTCTATTTGTTCTTGTTTGTCCTGCCTTCCGTTTTATTCCTTTTTTAAATCCATTGCATCCACATTTATTTGTCTTGATCTTGTGCTCTAGCGAACTGATAAAGGCATTGAAAGTTGCAGTTTTAATTTTCAAAACAGTGTCTCTTATTTGTCTGCATTTCGTGTTATATCTCTTTGTTTTGAAAAAGTGAATGGATAAATTAATGGAGATCTACGCGGTAATTCATCTCTTGTTAAAAAGTAGCAGAATGGCAGTCGAATCCAGCAGCGATTAACAAGTTTCATCTGGACTAGTCATTTTGTTCATTAATTGGTATGTCAACTTTTTGGACGTGGGGAATGGCGATGAAAAAGCAATAAGTGGGATTTTCGACTAAAAATCAGAGGAATCAAATGGCTACGCTAAACTGAACTCTGATCCAAACCGCCTTTTATAATGCTAAACGAAGTATTATTGGATTATGATTGGTCTTGATGAAACAATTGTCAAGCTTTTAAGTTGGTAGCCTAGCCATGAGCTTGTTGATTCATATTGTCGAAGAGGGAGTGGGTAAGAACAGAATGAAAGGAAAAGAAAAAAAAAGTCTACCATATTCGAAGCAGTTAGGGTACTATGTTACTATAATATTATTTGACCGTAAATTTTGTACAAATCACAATTAGACTGCCTCAAGTTACTTTTATGAAAATAATACAAAACTGATTTATCCCAGAAAGCTTAAAAGAAAGGTGAAAAGCCTCCTGACTGAAGGAAAAGGAAGCACCTGCAGATTGTTATTTTTCTCGAACGTTTTATAACAATTTACAATACCAGGGATTCTACTTCAAGGGAAAAGTTAAACAGCAAATTACGCAGAATATTCAGAAAAGTTTGAGGTTATACGGAACCTTTCCAAACGGAAGAGCGAATTCATGAACCTCTATTTCTTAGCGCAAAAATAAACGGCTCCATCCTTCATTATGCTTAAAGTTCTTATAATTAAAATAAAACGTGATGACGCATATTTCAAACTCCCATGTCACATCATTGAAGTGTAAAAGCTTAATTTTTTTCTCTTTTCTTGCCTTTGCATTTCTTATTTAAATGTGATCTACTAGTTTATAAGGTTTTCCCGAAATGCCTCTACGGGAAAACTAAGAAAAAATTCTGCATTTTATCCTAACGATGTCAACACGATTTCAGGAACAATGAGGAAGGATAGCGTTTGTATAAAATGGTCTAACGAGATCATGAGTTAATGAACATAAGTTGTATTTTAGTAAATGAACACATGATAAATGGCTGCATCAAGGAGATTGGTTTCTAACCTCTCCCACTGAAGCCGGAATTCTAGGAAATGCGTGGGTAATTTTAATTTCCCTAAAGCCCGAGATGTATTTCTGCGGTTTAAATTGTTTCACGTAAGCTGTCTAATTAATTTTCACCGAAAAATGATAAAAAAACACACGAATTTCACATATTCATCAGCATGATGACCAGTAAAGTGTGCGACCTTCACATCGACAGGGACGTAAAAGATGGCGAAGGTGGTCAGAGAAAACTTCCAGTAAGTAAGCATCATGTGCATGAGAACAGAACGCAGGGGTTTGGTCTTCGCACGAGTAGAAAAGGCATAGCACGTTTTTTGGGCTAATTACTCTAAAACAAGCATCTTCTGGTTGGGTGGTTGGATTGTATTGGAACGGAAGCAAATCGACACAAAACACTCGCTTTTTATGGAAATATTTTGTTGATGTAAATCTTCAGTTCTTTCTGGAGAGATTGACAATTGAAACAGTTAGAGTGTTTACAGACTTTCTGACGCGGTTGAGGCGCGACGCTCTTGGAAATCAGGTCAGCAGGTAACTCCCAACTTAAATCTCCAAATTTGTTTTTTGTAAATTTTACCCGACAGCTGAAACTATGCGAGTCATTACCTAATAAAATTTCGTGCAACCAATTGGATGTTCTGCATGTAAGCTTTTTGTAAGTACGCGTCTGTCCTACTGCTAAGTTTAACATAATGACAAGAGCTGCCGAAAAAAGTGCGTGGCTTATTCTGATGCTTGACTATGTCACCCTGTATGTCACTCGCTGTAGAAGTTAATTAAAGCCAGAGGTGAAATCAAACTCCAACATCTAATTCTTTATGAAACTATCATCTGCCGGTTCTAAGCTATATTAATCGTTTTAGCTATTATTTTTGATATGCCTCTCTCTTTCTTCGTAAGGTACTTCCTACAAATGAGAGATAGAGATCTAGAGAGCCCGATTGGAAAGTGTTGTGAATTTTGACTTTTTAGTTTTTTGTAGAAATCTTTCGGCATTAAATGCCAAGAAATTGCAAGGAATTTCAAGTGACCTTCAGCAAAGTTAAGTACATAAAAAAAATGTTACCACGGATATATGTCGCAGATAGGATATATCTCACTTTCAATCTCGTGTAAACTGATCCGCCGGTTTGGTGCAGTTTATTGTTTTTTGTTTTTGTTTTTTCTTTCATTCTATAAATACATGGTTTGAGGGAGGAAACAAAACTAGTCGCTTATAATATTTTACTACTACGTTTAGAGACTTGTGAAGTTTTTACTATGCGTCAATCATGTGACGAGGTATTCTTCGTACTCCAAACTTAATAAACCAAGATTTGAACAGGGATGAGACTTATGTGACTGGCATACGTATATATAATGCGATTTTTATCACAGCCATATCGTTTAGCGTGCATCACAGAGATATAGAAGATATAGAGAGGCTTAAACCATGAAACGAAATTCCTCGATCAATCCACAAGGCTTTAGAATAATCACAGACTGAGATACAGAAAAAACCCGCATGTAAGAACATAGGTTTTTTCACGTTAACTTCCTTAGGTTATTATATAAATGGTGTTTATTGTGAATTTAGGCTATCTAGGTTCTTAATCACGTTCTAAATTTTTGTTGAAAAAAAAACAACATGTATTGGTGGGTGTGGGTGTGATACTGCGCTGTACGCTAGTCTCATAGTGCCCTGCTTCACACGGTTGACTTGTATACGCAGTCTGGTATGTGCACAGCTATGGATGTATTGACAGTACAGTATTGTGGTCTTGACACTGCCGGTGTTCTGGTGGGTTTTTTGTTAACTTTCTGTATCGCATGCAATGTAGTGTATCAAATTTGGGCAAACTCTACATTCTAAAAGTAGAACTTGTTCTTTTAACAGGGGTTCTTAACAGGGGTTCTTAACTGGGAAGTTTTCGTCTTAACAGGTTCGTAAATTTTAGGTTCTTATACACGGGTTTTTACTGTAGTTTACTCTTGCTTGAGAAATTTTGCTCACAGGCAGTTTTAGGCTTGCGTTTGTTGTGAGTTAACGATGGAGGGTATTTCCTTTCCTTTTTTAGCATTTAATCGTGTGAAAAATCACTCCAACTGAGAAACCAACAACTCATTAAACCGTCGGGCTCCAACAAGCAATGTTCATTTCTATCCATGATCTAGCGTCCTACTTCGATGTCAAATTCAGATCCTGGGTTACCTACTCAACTTGTTCGTATACCTATTTATTTGACCTAATTTTAAAAACCATTTCCTGTGGTTTTTATGAGCTTTCATATTTGATAGAGCTTCCGAATCGCAAATTGTATTCGGATTTGGAGATTTAGTCTTTCAGAAATTGAAAACCACATAACAGAGGCTTAAGTTCATAAACTACTGCGCTAGGCTTTGTTTTAACATTGATAGTTTACTTCACCTTGTAGCAAATTGAGTTATGTTTGATTCGATTAACTAAACATATAGAAGAGTTTTAACGTCCTTTTGGCATCATTTATAAAGATTTTCGTCGATTTGCCTTGATCCTGTACAACTGCTACAAGGTAAGCTATGGTACTCACATAAACGTAGCCGTTTGTCTGTCATACTGAATTAGAGTGATTTTTTTTTGCGGGGAACAGTATTTCGTTCGCTGTGAGGGAGATTAGTTAAAGTGTAAACATATTCACATAGAAATAGATCAATCAAACCAAAATAGGTCAAGAATTGCTTAGATGGGTAAAATTGACATCGATTGATTACAAAACTGAGCTCAAAGTTGAAAAAGTTAAGTTTTAAAATAGCTGAGAATGCATGACAGTGATGTATTTGCATCAAATCTCAACATTAAGCATAAACCGAAATTGATCTTCATGGTAAAAAGTAAAAGCGGAATGTTTTAAGAGCATTTATTGGGCCACAACTTCCCGTTAATGTTAAACTGAAGCATGAACAAACTGAAGTTGGTCTGCCATGTGTTCGGTTATTACGTAGATCGACATCCCAGATTATACGTTTATCTTCCCTTCCACGTATTCCATACTGAGTTATGGGATTTCCTTCAACTAACTAAATTTTTTAGCAAATCTACTTTATGTATCCGGTTGAAAGATCAAAAGTAGTCCGTATATCTTCTTGCAATCTTCTGTAGCTTGCTATTTTATCACTTTAATCTTTCAGAGCTACATGAAGTTGTGATCAAGCAAATTATTGCATAATTAATTAAAAAAAAATACTTTAAAAAATCCTCAGAAACAGATTTTCACGGTTGAATTAAACTTTTTCGAGCTCTGAAATGTTAATATTGCGCTTTCAGTGTCTTTTATGCAGGTTGAGTAGTATTATTTAAAAGAACGCTATCACGAATCAATGATGGTTTTGTCAGATTGGAGTTTGCTGATGACACCGCAATTGCTAGATTTTGTGTTTCACTCATCAGAAAAATTCGAGAAGATTTGCGCGTTTTAAATTTTTTCATGGGTATTAAGCACCTCTGTGGAACTAACTGTCTTCGATATTCGTTAACAATAACAAGTTGTTTTCCGCCTAAATCTTGAAAAAAAAAAGTACCCCACGATGTTAATTTACTTTCTGCAGAATTGTTTTTTGTAATACATACCCATTACTGCTTTTCATGCACGAGAAAAGAGTAAAACAACATTTTACACGACGATCATGTTTTCAAATAACTGAAAATAAATACCCAATCGTGGATTAATTGATTTCTTTCCAAGATAAAGATTTGAAATGCCCTAAAAATGTCCTTACAGCGTAACAACAATACGCTCCCCCACAGATACTCAGCAAAGCTTTCTCAGTAAACAATATCATTATGTGACTAATGTAAATGTGGTTGTACACCATTACTATAAAAAACGACATGAAAACGATTTCGGCTGAACGCTGTTTATGGAAACAGGAACCGATGTTTTCCTTCGTTAAAAAAATAATTGAAACTTGGCCAAGGAAAAGTGAATAACATTCTGAGCAGGTGTAAAAACGATCGCTTAAGGTGCTTTCCCTTTCATCACGTACTTCTGTCATCATGACAAGTAGTTTTGGAATCGAAAGAGGATTTATATGAACGACAAATGCGTAAGTAAAATTAGAAAGTAGACAAAGGCTCTATGTGTACACAACTGTGCAATGACTCCAAGCGGGTTAATTTTACATTGATGCAAGTTTCCCATGTTATTTCGGCATTATATAACTGAGTGTCTAGTGTCAAGGAAAAATGGAAAAGTTAATTTTTCCCTGGCCATCACAGCAGAATTACGTTTTATAATGATATCAATATTTGAAATATGTGTAAAGCTTCTGCACTTTCCACTGAAAATGAAGAAAGAAAGACGTGCGAGGTATGATAGAAACAGGTTGAAATTTGTCTCCTCTTGATGAATATCAGGCAGCCTCTAGTAAAGATTGTCAAATCAAGCTTGAGCGATTCGTGACATCTTCCACGTAGACATCGTATGTTGAAGAATAGTGGTGTGGATAAATGGAAAAATTGAAAAAGGAAAGCAAAAATTCAACCCATATCAGAGGTGTTCTTCACTACTTTAATTTCGCCAAAAAATTTGATGACGCAAAGGAGCCGATTTAGCGCCAATGCTGAATTACATTGTTTTCCATATTTCATCGAGGTTACTCCCTGGAAAATCCGATTTTTCGCTTAAATAAAACATGTCATAATGTAACCCCATAAAAAAGAAAAGAAAAGTGAGTATGCAGACTTTGGCAGTAAGATAAGAATCACATCATAAGTTTATTCTGCTTGTATACGTATAAGTTCGAGGATGTCAGCGACGAAAAATCTAGCGAGTAACTATATTTGTTTAGAGCAGAGTTCACAAAGCTTGTAAGATCCACATAGGTTGTCCAAATTAACATCTAGAGAGTTAACACAGTGGGGAGTCTCAAAGGTCAGTTTTAAAATAAACAGCTATTTAAATTGTATCGTATCAGATACAGTATCTAAAATTTTGCAAGTATGACAACTTGAATGTGCATGAAATTCAACGGCACAGAAAAATGAGAGTGAAATTTGCCAAGAATACCGACATTGGCTATGCAGACGGAACTGAAATCAGCCTTACACTTTGGTTCATTTTCGGACTCAGAATTTTTTTCTTCACAGGTTCTGCCGCTTCTCACAGCATTAGAAAAATAATTCTTCAGCACTTAGGCCGAAATAATTACTTCGGTGGTAAGTCCGGATGAACAGATCATGTATATTGATCGAGTCAGCACAAAAATTTGATAAGTTGAACTGAGGCGAAATCTACTGTACCACTGTCCAATTATCTTGTCCTTCATATTTAATCGTGATTTAGTTTTTTCCTTTTCTTTAGAAACAAAAAAAAAACAAAACAAAACAAAACAAAACAAGAGAATCACAGAGTCCACAGAAGGGCCGAACACCAACATGACTAGTCATGATGAGGAAACCTTTACTGGGAATTCAGTTTTTTGGAGCTACAGCGTGATCATGTTCCTCATTCTTTTATTCGGTTTCTTTGGTAATCTGTTCACCATAATAGTCCTTCGACACCGGGAACACCGCAAGAAAAGTATCACTCCATTAATGATGAACCTGGCCGTAGCAGATCTCATGATTGTCGTGTTTGGCTACCCAGCAGTCATCAGCAATAACATGCAAGGTCAAATGATGCGTACGGGAGGACCTCTTTGTATTTGGTCCGGGTTTATCAACGGTATAACGGGAATTACATCCATCGGTACTCTAACAGCAATGAGCGGTGTAGTGTATCAAACTATCAAGAGAAACAACCCAAATTACTCCATTCCTAACAGACAAAACTTAGTCCTCATCATGGGCGCATGGCTGTATGGATTTGTCGCCTTGCTTCCTCCTTTGATAGGATGGAACCGGTTTGTGCCCGGTAAGGCCGGTCTTAGCTGTGCACCTGATTGGACGACTCAGGACCTTGTGAGCACTGTGTATATCGTTCTGTTAGTCGCCGGTGGTTTCTTTATACCGTTTATAATGATAACAACGTTCCTTACCATGACTCACAGGTAAGTAATAAAGAAAACGAAGAACTGACGTGGTGAACTTCTGTTCTGAACGTAATCCAATCTAATCATTTTAATTTTTTCAGTGCTGTAATAAACTTTAACCAAAAATAAATTCGATGAAATTTCGGTGACATTTTCTTCTTTGCTGGCACTTTGTTAACATCATATTTTATAAATGCGCACACTTCATTTTTCCCGTTCAGTTCGCGGTTGGTTTAAATTTGAACAATATATCTGTTTACCGCCATTAACTTTCATAAGGGGAATGGGTAATGAAGTGCACATGAGCCATCAATCGAGATAAAACGACCTGAGCCTCATGATCAGTATAAGATGGAGTGTCTGAAGTGTATGGTTTTTCAAATGGTTTTTTTAGCAGTTTTTATATGTACTTTTAACCGATCCAGATGAAATGGGAAAATTTTGGCATTTTTGTTTTCTGTGCCTGCAAATGTTATATTTGCCTATATTGGCCCATAGGATTACTTTAGTTTTTGGCCTTTGAAGCATTTTTTAATCGAAAACCACTCTACGGTGTTTAGCGAGGAAATAACGTCAAAACTTATTATAGCAGAACTAAGATACTGCAGGGACCCTGATTGACCAAAAACTTATCGTTTATTGCACAGGAAAACCCATAAAAAATTGAAACGTGCTGTGTTTTATTGTAAGTTTATGCTGTAAAAAGCAATAGACCACATTTTCTGTAGGTTTGTAGCGGTAATTAATCATAAAAACTACAATTTCCGTGAAGAGAAGAAAAAATTATCCATCTTGAAGAAAGCCCTTATTAAGGAGTCTGTATACTGTTTCTATTATGATTAAAACCAAGGTTGTGATTGGTTGATTTGAACTACAACTTTGAATATGATTGGTTGATTTAAACTACAAAAACAACTTGGCAAGTGAATTAGTGGAAAATAGGAGTTTTTTAAACCAATTAAAATTGAGGAAATTGTAATTTTTATTATTAAGCGGTATAATAACCCACGAGGGAAGTTGGGAGAACACGACAAAAGTTTATAAATCACGCGCCGGATTCAAGTGTTCTCTCAACATTCTTAATGGATAAACACTCCGGTAAGCTGATAGAAAGTGCATTCTTTTGCTTAATTGATTGACTTTCATTAATGTACCCGGGCTGTAAATAATATGCAACAAAAATTTGTTACTACAGATTGCTTAGACGCTTTCCTGTGCCCTTGGATCCTTTCATCCTCGCACAACGCAGAAGATACCAACAAAGAACAGTGTTAATGATCATAGCAACCATGGTGGCCTTCTTATTGAGCTGGTCACCGTATTGCATCGTTAGCTTCACGGCAACTATCAAAGGACACCATGTACTCACATCAGGTGAGGCAGAAATCCCTGAACTCATGGCTAAGGCCTCTGTTGTCTACAATCCAATCATTTATATCATTATGAATGAAAGATTTCGGCGGACACTCGTACGAATTATCATCGGTAACAACAGGCCGAGAGTGGCTCCGGATGAAGCAACAGATCATAACTTTATCATCTCAGCGCCAAGAAACTTTGGGAGAGAAAATAATCTGGTTATTACAACCACAGCAGAGATATGAGCTAACACTAGTAGTAATCATTGATTATGAAGTGCGTACGTGGTATAGATTAAAAGTTTTCTTTGGTTTTCGTTCTAACGCAGGCTTTACACGAATCAGGAACGAATGGTTGGGTACCCATTACGCGGTTTGAGGTAAACTAGTTAAAACCAGAGGGAAACGTCTGCAGAGTAGTTGAAGGCTATATGGAAAATATTGTTCAGTAAAGAGACAGATGATGTTAGGAGCTGAACTGACAGGACTTTATTGATATTACAGAGAAGAACGTTTAACGGCTGCTGTATACCTTTTAACTGGAACGAGGTTTTCGTTTAAACTGTTAAGAAACGGCTCTTTCTCTAAAGGCGAGGTAGACATGAAATTCCAAGGGAAAGATCGGCGTGAAATGGTTTACTTTTCCTGAAAGAACACAATCCGTTTGAAATAATTTTCCTAATGTTCCAGATGCAACGCAAACTTCCCTCCATAATGGATAATGGATAATGGATAAAAGTTCCAGTTAAACCGCCTTCAATCTACTTCCAGTTGAACTACTTGGCACAAGGTGCGCGATTGTCATTTTCGCATCGGAATGAGACGTAGACAAAACAAGATAAATTATTCAAGATGGCGCAGAAAATGCAGACGTACGACGAAAATGAGTACCACATGTACAAAAGGTCATCCTTGAGTACCACAGGAATCCCAACCGTATACCACAGGAATCCCAACTGTATACCAGAGGAATCCTAAGATTATGGGTTGCGTTCTCCTAGCGTCAAACGCAATAAATGTGAATAGATAATGTGCGCATTGCTTGACGGTGAGCCTTAGCTCTTGCACATGAATTCGAGGCTCACAGTTAAACACCAGAATCTTTTTAAACAGATTTTTTCAGCAAGGGCCATTGTATAGCTAAAATCTCTCATATTATTCAGTTTTAAACTGAGAAGCAAATCATAGAACAGGTCTGAAAAATTCCAGCATAGAAACAGGAAATATAAAGTCTTTCAAGTTGAGTTATTAAGAATACAAAGCTTTGAATCAGGCCAAAACAGGCCTTAAATGTTCCTTGCCAATGTCTGTTTCGAAAATACAATAAAAAGATAGGTCACCGTGCTTGTTTAGGAGATATAACAAGCCAAACTTATTATTCCTGAACAAACATTTATGCCAATACTAGCTTTAATCTCGCGCGTCATTTTATCGGTTCACGGTACATTTTGCTGCGGCTGGAAGTCAGGGTTTTTGAAGTAACACTTTAAAAAACTTGATAGGTAGAAAGTCTCGATCGTATGGAACGATTTAATTAATAATTTGTCCGAAAATCACGCAAATACAAATGATATAGACACAAAACGTTCATCGAGTCGTTCCTTTCAAGGTCATAATTTGCATCCTCGGGTAACGGGCTTTGTACACGCTTTTAGCTTTATCTTTTTTCCATTCGAAGAATTTTTTTTTTAACTTCCTAGGTTGAAAGGGGATAAATTGTACACCAAAATTATGCAAACAAAAAGTTATCAGGCACCGTGCTTGTTCAAGAGCTAAAGATTATCGGTCCATTTTACTTGGTCCATTGATTGAAAAACAATACCGTGTTCTCGGAATGCGTGCGCGCTTATTCGCCTGATTACGTGATTTTCATGCGCAGTAGAGGGTGCGCAGTAGAGGGCGCGCAGTAGAGGGCGCGCAGCAGAGGGTGCGCAGTAGAGGGTGCGCAGTAGAGGATGCCTGAGGAATCACCATAAGCACAACTGTTTCAGAGGCACTGACAGCAGCCGGAAAACACTTTTCATTCCTAGTGCTCACTACGCTTTTCTGGTTTTTCAATTTGGAATAAAATGCTAACACGATGACTTTACAGTCTACTTATTGGCGTCAAAACTGTCATTCTTCCTCAGGATGCCTTTCGTGTCTTTAAACGTCTTTGAGTTTAATTCTCTTTCATCAAGTGCATGACGTGCACGTGGATGACAAGGGGCAGTTCAAGAGTCCAATTTCAAATTTTATCTTTTTCTGCATTTTGCTGTTATTTTTAAGTTCTGAAATTCATTCACAAGTGGATTTCATGGTATACAACGGCAAAAACTGAAATTACTCGGGTAATGACATTTGCGCCACCTACTCATCTAACAATCAGGGCTTAGCGTTAATCAATGCCTTTTCGTTCTTTTCTTGCTATGATTTCACAGGAGCCCTTCAGAACTTGTGACAAAAAAGGTTACTCTTGATTCCTCGTGGTCATCGATCACTAAACTTTTTTTGAGACACTCTACGTATTGCAGGGATCAAGGTAGTGGCTCTGTAACCAGCCGCAGTGAACTCTCAGAAGTCGATCAAGGTTCGTGATTCTCGTTGGTGTCCTCTGCAAAACAACATCACATAATTATTTAGGTTGTCATCACTTTCGCCTTCGTATGATGGCTAATCAGTTCTGTTGGCGCATTAGGTAGTAAATGCGCGATGGAATGATTGCTTGTGCTACTCTTACAAGCACACGTAACCAACAGTTACATACAGTTTTACCTTTTAGAAGATCTCATACGAAAAATAGCCAGCGACCGTTTAAAATAAACTCCACCAGCAATTTACACAAAATGTAATGCCAAGGGCCAAACATGTTTTCGTCCCCGTCTTTTAATCCTACGGCGGATACTTTTTAACGCGACATCAGCTGCGTTGGATTATTCGAAACGCCGTGTTACTTATTGCAAGAAATATAAAATATCGCTAAAAGAAAAATTGAAAAAAAAGCTTTGACCGGTAATGATGCAGAAAGACAATCAATGGTCGTGATTAAGAAGATTGGCTCCTTTCAAAACCAAGTGACTTTGGGCTTTAAAAAACACAAACTGTCTGCGTCATTAGCGGCGCAACTGGATTCTAGTGGAAAAAAAAGATTGTCTGGTTGAAAAAAAAGATTCACTTTGCAGCAATATCAGGAAAAAAATTTGATTTATTGCAACTGATGTGTGCTTGGCTTATTTAAGGTTTTAATTGACAAGATTTCGGAAAGATTGTGATGCAATACTTTTCGTGCAAAAACGTTTTGACTGAAGAATCAGGTTTAAGTTACATGAAAAATTATATTAATATTCAAAGGCTTCTTTCTATTCTCTGACGTCTCGCTCTTTGTTTTTTATTGATCAGTCTTCATTAAAAAGTACTTTTTGCGCCTGCAAATGAAATTTGCATTTCACTTTCCCGTGCATGTTGCTTACAAAGTTGTTGGCGAAAAATATTTTCAGCACACCTGACATTTTTCATACCCATTCACGGCGATGTGTTTACATTGTGGTTTCTTCTCGCCTTATCGATCGACTCCATATTCTAGCATGATCCCAAGACCTTGGATATAAAATATTTATTTTCCCTAAAACACCCAGAAGAGATTTGAGGAAAAGCAAGACAATGATCAAATGGGAAACTTTCTCACGAAAGTGTAATGTTAACATAACGCGAATATTATGGCCTGATTTAAAGTATCGACTATGGGCTTGCTAAGTAAATCCTCATTGAATACGAGAAACGGTTTGACAAAGGAACAACATAATTATTTTCACACGCGTTTCAAGATTCAATTTTGACTCACAGGGAAACAGATCAGTGAGGGTGGATTTCCTTTGTGGATGTCACCATTTGATTCACAAAGGTAAGCTCTGAATTTTTGAGAATTTCATCGTATCTCGCTATTTTATCTGAAGAATGGGGAGAGTCTGTTATATTTGCTCCTTCGGAAAAATTCGTTTCATCAAAAGTAAATCCCCATATAAAGAGAAGAACAGTTTGAAAAAGGAATAACAATTTACTTCCCGACGCGTTTTATAGTTTTTGAATTCTAGGAAAACAGATGAAGACGAAAATTTCCTTTTTTGATTGTCCCTATTCATTAAGGAAAGCACTATTTTAAACCAAACTTTTGCGTATTTCGATGGTTTATTTGAAGAATGGCAAGAGTCCACCGTATTTATTATCTTGGAATAATTATTCATTTTATCACAAAAAAATAACGGTAAAGAGCATTTTAAATAGAGAAATTAAGCCGCAAAAAACTACAGAGAAGACACAAATTTCTACAAGAAGTCAGTATAGGAAAAGTAAACTGATTCAAACTGAGGGAAGATTATTTGGCCATGGGTCATTGGATTATTTTGGCGATTGGCCACGAGCCGTCGCAATTTTTGCTCTTGAAAAGAAAACAATTTTCCACTATTCAATTAGGCTGAGGTAAAATGGTTACCAGATGGTCACAGATTAGATTGCAATGGTTACCCCCCGCTTGAAATATCAGTAAAATATTTTCTTGTCATTTGATTTTCCACCATACCACTAAACTGGGCTGGTGGTAAACATTCACGTTCGAACATTTTGGTAATGTTTTGAGTATAATCATAATGAGGAAAAAATTGTGATACTTTTCGATATCATTGTTATCATTGTAATGACTGAAATGAAGCCACTTGATAATAAACGCTCCTCATCTTCGGAAATAAACTGAGAATGGTCTGTTTCTCAAGGTTTCACTGACAAATTCTTAATTCGGTAATAGCGATTTGAGAACCTCAGAAGGTCGCAGGTGCTACACATGATCCAGGATTAATGAACGAGTAGAAGGATGGAAGCTCAGGAAACCTCTTTCATATGAAAGACATAACAGTCCCAAAACCCATTCTCATAACTCATAGCGGTTAGTTCAAATTTTCAACATCTAGTTGTTACACTTCCGGAACATAACATAAACATTATATTAATGCACCGGTCGATCGAAGCTTCAACATTCCCTGCCAGCCAACTCATACGCATTTGACCGTCGTCCGTGACCAGGATGTGGAAAATTTGAAACGTATTTGGCTGGAGTGGGAGATTTTGAACCAGAACACAAGTGTTATATCTTTAAATATGGAGGTGTTTAGGCTAAATAGTTCACTTTCGCGAGCATTTTCTGAGCGTGAGTGGGGCATTTTAACACATTTTTTTGTCCGGGTTTGGGGGGGGGGGAATGAAGGGGGAATTTGAAAAAAAAAACAATCATTAAAAGTTCAAATGCGTAGGGGGTTGCTCGTGGGGATGTTGAAGCTTTGAATTGATTGAAACATAACCACTAGATTTAACAAGGGGGTTTAAGGGTATAAATTATTGTCAAATAACGGATTGGATGAAAATAACATTGAATGCCATACAGTATCTTTTACAACAATTTCGGTCGTTTATTGCACCTCGCTGTCGACGTAATTCTGCGTAATTCTCCATTGGCTACGTTTCAAAATTCCGCTCAAACACTGCACTAATTTTATAAATGCTTAGTGCCATTTGAAAAAAATATGACGAAGGAAACCGCAACATAGACATACTTTTGATTTCAATTAAGTTTTGAAATGGAGTAAGATTCTCAGGCTGTCAGGCTTCGACAAAATTCTCAAGCTGTGTTTGGGAATGAAAAAAAAAAAAAAAAAAAAAAAAAAAAGAAGCCGCAATAAACGAGAATACATGTTTTTTAAACTTGTGACGATTGATTTTCGTAGGTCTTTAACTTTAATCCTGTGAAGACACAAAAATTCAAGCAGTGGTGTTTCCTAACTTTTTCACAAAGGACACAAAACTCCTTTCTGATCTCTATTTTCTTTCCTAATTTAGGCTGAAATTTTGACGCAACTTTAAAGCAGGGTTACACTCCATTATCCTCCACGAAACGCTCCGCTACTTCCTTTTCACGTGATCGGCGGAAGATTTTATTTTTATATTACCACGAGTCATACGCAAGAAAAAAAAACTGAATACTCTTAACAGGAATCGAACATATGACCTCCTTATGAATGCGAGCTTCCTGGAAGCTACATGAGTGGCAAAAGTTGCAACAAATTCGTTAGCGTTTTGGTAACAACAGGCAACATTGAAATGGGGAGAGGACACAAATAATAAAAAGGAGTAGAACGAGAGAAAGACTTTTCCCACTCATTGTAAGTCATTAAGAACAAATTCAAACTACAAACGATAAACGATAAACATCCTGTATTAGAATGTAAATCCTTTACTTTGGACTACGATGTATCCTAAAATTGTGGGATTGCGCCTTGAAGACGCAAGTGAAAGTTTTCAAACTTAGTCCGGCAATAAAAACTCACCCGAAACGCTAGAGTGAACCAAAAATCGATTTTAATACTCTCTGTTATAACTTCTGAAGTCTTTTCAACGAGTAATGTGCGCTAAGCAAGTCAAAGTTCGGCAAAATGGTTAACTTTCCTTTGATCTGTCATAATTGCATCAACCTACGGATCTCTATTGAAATGTAGATGATCGGAGGAAGCGCCGGAAGAAGGTAATTATTAATACTTGCGTTTAAGACTTCATGGATAGAACGTTCATTGAAAAGAGTGACGTTTTACTCTCTTGAAACCGTTGTTTCAGAGCAAACGAGAAAGGTGTTCTTTCTTTCTGGTAAATAGAGTTACTCTAAGAATCCTGCCTTCGGCGCTGAGACTGCTAAGTCTGGAAATATCCATACATCTTCAACTGTTTTTGAAACGATATTATTGCAGCCTATCACAGACTTCAAATTTACCATTTATCAGGGACTATTAGAAATAATTTTTCTTTGTTCTAATGGAACGATTTCAGAGAAGTCCGCAATTTTTACCACACGTTCGCCCGTCGAAATGAGAGGTGTCAAATGTGCAACACGACTCAACCGCCGGAAAAATAAAAAAAAAACCATACTATCAATTTTTAAATCCGGAATTGGAATCAATTTACCATAATTGGTACAGTAAGTGCTCAAAGTTGTTATTCTAAATCTTATATTATTTTTTATCAGCGACTAAAACTGTACCGCAAACAAAAACAAAATTAAGATATTTGATATCACTATCTGAATTCTTCAAGACTAGCTGGCTGGAAAGATTTCATTGATGTGTGACGTGCTTCTGTAGAGTCGTTTAGCTTTATAAAAAACAAAAATTGCAACTTTCTCTCAGTCTAAGGTATTAAAATCCAAACCACTTTTTAATATTGACCTGGAACGGCTAATGGGAGTTTAGATTATTTTCAATGTCCGCTCTTGTGTAATACTCTAAATCAAAAAGCCCCCTATAACAAAAGCTCCGATGCCTCTGTTGTTTTGACATCTCGGAAAAGGTTCTTGATGAATGAAATATACCAAGTGTGTTTATTGGAACATGTGGCATTTAAGAACCAGAGGAACGTCATTTACTGCTAAGTTATGACTGACTATTAGAATGAAAAGTATGTATTAAAATAGTCGTCGAAACCACTAAAGGATAAAGAACACATCTTCCTCGTCATATCTTAAGCATTAATGTCGATCCAAAAGTCTCTTCTAAAACAAAGACCGATTCTTTTTTATCTAGTCTTGATAAAGGTCTTTGTCGCAATATTTCCCTTAATTGACTAAAAACCTTTTCAGCTTGCATTATTTATTAGACTTTTTGAATCCGGTTTTTGAATAAAATGGTATATTTTGAATTAACAAAACCACATGTGTACCCTGCTGACCGTATTCGAACGTGCAGAAAAATTCTGGACAGGTTCCTACCTGTCATTTAAACCTGCACTTAAATATTTTAGCAAGAAATAACACTTTCTACGCCTTTTTCAAAACAAGTGAGTGGACACTTAAGCAGTACGTGGCAAACATCTCTTAATTATAGGAGAACTGCTGTATTGTAAAGAGTTCGGGTTCACCACGTATGAGAAAACTGAACAAGAATACCGCGCCGGCTTCTCACTACCTGCCATCTTCATTAACACTAAGTCGAGTCAAAAGGTAGGTTTTATAAGTGAAAGGTTTATCTATTTCAAGTTAACAAAAAATCTCTCGTGGAATAAATTCACCATTCTTTTCAAACAGATCTGAGAGAATTCCCTTAACATATTATTAACGTAGAACTAATCTCCTTCAAAACAGATTGAAACCACTGCTGCTTTCAAAACATCGCGTAGAACCTTAAAAAAGCTACTAGACAAGTGATTTAGTAATTAAAAAAACCAGAACAATTTTTATAGTCTGTTTAAAACTGAAGGAATCAGTTCCGTGCAATGTCAAATATCCAAGTATGCATTTCAGATTTCTTCTGCTTTATATAATAAGTCATTTAAAAAAGCAAAAAATGAAAGACCACTAAAGAAGCCTCTCCTTTTTTGCGTGTGTTATTCTTCTTTTCAGAATTTTAATATGCTTAGCGTAGGCTTTGACAATTAACGAAACACCGTTAAATCTGTTTTTCTCTTTTGCTCACCACGAGACACTCGCACAACGTTTTCGTGACTGGTTCGAGGCTATCCAGGTTGATTTCCACAGGTTATGCGAACTGCTAATATGGAGAAATATATTTACTGCCACAACCTTGAAAACCCGGCACTTGAAAACGTCGGAAACTGTCTGTAACGTTTGGAATGGCAGGTGCCCTGCTTAAATTCTCTGTTATCTATATTTAGCAATTATTTTCAATGCTGAGAAAGTCAGTAATACTCGACCTACCTGCCGCGATTTAAATGAATAAAAGGAATGACTGATTCAAAAGAAATTTTAATATACCCAAAAGCTATTATGTTTTTCAAAAAGTTCGAAAACAATGAACACAATAATCTGGTGTTTGCCTCTAAAACTTAAGTAGGTCCTCACTGACCCAAACTTGGCAAACTCGAATTTCGCGTTAACTCGATCGTGTCGGCAAGAATCGTCAACTGGTGCCCGGCGGTGAAGCGATTTCAATTCTGGACGATCGCTGCGACCTGATTAATGTCGATGATTAAATTCGCTAGCATTTACCTTGCGCACCCATTCGTGCGATTTCCATAGCTCACTGCTGCGAATAGCCGGTGAAGTCGGCCAATCAAATTTCATTATGAAATACTATTACATAACTCTTCAAAATGAAGCTTGAAAACGATATCCAAGGGAAAAAAGCGCCGCAATCGGTTCAAAACTTGCCAAGTGAGCCCGTACATCAAACAGTGGCGAAATTCGCTCGCGATTTTCCCCTGTAATCACTGTCTTTGCGATCGTCGTATTCCATGAATTGCTTGTTGCATTGCCAGGTTAAAATTATCTCCTAAGAAGAAAGGTTTTTAGTGAATTCTTATCTTCTAACTCGAATTCCCCTCATCTCGAACCGTTTCCCTTAACAGGGTAATTTAGCATTATTAACCTGTTGATAACGTAAATTGGCCACCATTAAGAGTTTCAAGCTTTAGCCCTTGGTTAGAGCGAACGACGAAGGGTTTAACGCTCGAAACGTTAGCTAGGATTCACTAAAATGTTTGATTAAATATCAACATACAACATACACGCCTGTTGCGTATAACTGTAATCAGCAGCAAACCGTGATTCAAGAGATTATCGTTCGTTTATTTTCCGTTTCACCAGGTTTTGGCAATTACACTGAAAATTCGGGAAAAAAGGCAGGCTTGCGGGAGGTTTTGCGCTCAACCAGGCCAATAAATTGTACAAAAATAAGATTTTTAGAAGATGTTGTTCACGTTCGGAATCTCTTGTTCATCCCGACATTGCTTGCTTAGCCGCTGCTCTGAGGTACAACTGGAAGTACCACTTTAGCATAGTCCCACTTCAGGGTAAAATACAGGAAGAACTGAAGTGATTTATAGAGTTGAATGTTCTTTATATAACGGCTGTATGTACTATTAATCTCCTGTTAAAATGCTCTGTAGAACGAGACAAAACAAATCATGCCGCCAGGCTCGATATTTTGGTTCATTCAGGATTTTGTCTCAAAATTTCAATTACACCACTCAGGCAATCTGTTAATATGCCCATCTGTATCAAACCCGGCAAGGGCAAGCCAGTACTTGGTCAAGTTCATCAACTTCTCAAGGTCAGCCCGACATAAAATTTAAAAAACAGTGATAAACTACCAGAATCAGCCAAATATAATAAAATTTCTGGCTTCAAAACAGCGAGATTCCATCCAATGCCGTTTACACAGTGTTAAAATAGCTAAGTTAATCACAAATCCCTTTTCACATTAATGGCAACACTGTTAAATACATCTGCACCTTGCTTTTGCCCTTATTAATACGCTAAGCTCTTAACCTCTTATCATGTCAGTAATAGCACCTTACATCCCACGCTATGGTGTGTGCATGAAGGCAATCACTTCCTATATGACATTGGCGTGGGACGCTATAAAAACATCCTTGTGTTGTTACGGTCTATTTATACCTACTCAGCCTTTGTCTACCAGGGACATTGAAAATTGTCATTACTTGACGGAAAAGCTTTAATCAAGTGTTAGCGAATGGGGAGAAATATCGAAAAGGTTGCATTAAACCATGCAGTACAAAACAAGATTGAGTTTATTTAAGAATCAGAGACGATTACCACGGTTTGCAATCGAAAAATGTGCCTGCAGGGTTAGATTTTTCGCCATATGCAAGCGTAACTTTGCTTCATTCAGGTTTTATTTAATTGGAGGTTTTCTTTACTTTGACGCAAAATTTTGATTTGTTTGTCTCTTTGCCCAGGTTTCCTGTAACTGATGAGCCCAGCAGTTTGCATCCATGGATAATATTACTACAAAAGATACTCACAGCTTACCAGGAGGAAAATCTTTCAACTGGCGCGCTATGTACCTCGCGTATGCCGTGGTCATGTTTGCTGTTGTAACTGTTGGATTCCTTGGAAATGTCTTAACTCTGATAATTCTTCACTACCGCGAGCACCGCAAGAAAGTCTTGACTCCTCTTATGATCAACTTAGCAGTCGGAGACATTCTCATGGTTATCGTAGTGTACCCCGTGGTAATTGCGTCGAATCTCGTTGGTAAACAGCTTAAGGAGGGATCGCTGCGATGCAAGTGGTCCGCCTTCGCAAATGGCGCCATTGGTATAACCACTATCGCTACATTAGTTGTGATGAGCGGCGTTATGTATCACGGTATCAAACAGACTTTACCAAAACCTAAAATACATGCTAAAAATATGTCTCTGCTAGTGTTAAGTACGTGGTTATACGGGATATTGCTTAATCTTCCTCCTGTGATTGGTTGGACCAGGGCTGTACCCGGTGAAGCTGGCATAAGCTGCGCCCCTGAGTGGACAAGTTCAGAACCGGAGAGCGTAGCGTATATTGCCTTCCTATTGGTGTTTGGCTTTTTCCTTCCGCTTACTGTAATTGGGACGTTCCATTACATGATCTATAGGTACGTGTGCATCAATTAATGCATGTTGAGTCGTTAGATTCAAATTACCCTAACCGTATGACGAAATATCAGTTGTGTTTTTCCACACAATATCAGTTAGCTTTCTTAGCTGGTGAGTGTCATTAACCCTTTCACCCATAGGAGTGACCAGCATCTAATTCCACGAATCACACAGTAAGGTCGTGAGAATGACGGAAATGATGACCAACTAACGGAGCTCTTGATTGTTAAACAAATTCTCCTTGTCAGCACATTAAGAAATACACAGAGAACAGCATGGAGACTATACGTACTGATTTCAGAGCACAAGGTGGCTAACAGGCATGAAACTTAATGTAATATTATTTAGCAATTATTTGGCCAAATAGAAAAGACAACATTTCAACATGACCCTGCTTCTCCAAACTTTTTCAGTCGAAAGCCACTTTCCTTTTTATTTCCAGTCTAAATGATCTCCGTAGATCGGAAGGCACCAAAATGTGTCACGGCTTTACCGGTGATTACCCCGCGTAAACAATACTACCCAACCACTGGGGATACAAAGGGGACCATGTAGTCATCACACTATAGAGACCATGCGTAATCGCTTAACACTCAAAATAATCTCAAATCGTAGCAAATATCCTTGTTTCATACAAATTACCTCGGTACTTTAACCAACGCATATTGTTGGGAACACATGAATAAACGAGGTTAGAAACTGTCATGAACGGTACTCAACTTCCATACTCTGCTACATGTCAGTATTAATATCTTTTTTTTCAAAACTAGGAAAGTAAACGGGCGGATTCAAATATGTCAAAAGGGACTGCAGCCCCCATGCAGAGATGTTTAAGACTGACCACACTTTTTCAGCTCCCTCTTTCCGGACTTTCTTTGTCTGCTTTCACATTCCGTTTCCCATTTCTATTCTTTTCCGCAGGGTGATTCGACGAGTACCTCTGGAAGGAAACCCAATGATCCGCGCATGTCGAATGAAATCTAAAATGAGGCTAGTGCGCATGACTTCTTTCTCTATAGCCGCGTTCGTGGTAAGCTGGTTACCGTACTGTGTAGTAAGCATAGCTGCTCTTGTAAATGGTCATCACGTGCTTTCATCCGGGGAAGCGGAAATTCCTGAACTGATGGCTAAGGCGTCTGTGATTTATAACCCATTCGTGTATGCCTTCACAAATGGTACCTACCGTGCTTCGCTGAAGGGATTGCTTATCGGTGGTAATAGTGTCATTCGGGTTAATCCATCAGTTCTTAGAACCAGTCCGGCGCCGAGTAGTTACGTGAACTCAGTAATTATCAATCCACAACAAGAGGACACAGCTCTGTAATGGAGTTTATTGTTGCATTCAAAATCGAGTGAAATGCAAAAATATATAGGCTCTTGTAGGATCGTCGTTAACGGGAAAATGGTACATATCAGTGGAACAAACCAAAAATAAAGCTACAAGAACGCATGTTAGCAAAAGTGACGTGACAGTCTCGCCGACGAGTACGAAGTACAAATTATTTTATACACAATGACTTCTTACGCACGGGCCATTAACTGACATAAACATTTATTTCAGATGTTTTACTGGAAAGATACCAACATGATAATTAGGATGTTGAATGACCATCTAACCTTCCCTTTGAACCACAAAATCCACACCAATATTGTTAACACGCTACGTGTTCTCTAGGGTCAATGCAGCAGTTACCCCTAATATTTCCAACACCATGCCTCTCAGTCTTGTAACCCAGAGCTCAACTTTCAAAAGGTGCCGCTCTTCAAACAAGTAACTTTCGCGTTTTCAACGCGAGTCATGAACTATCCTTTCTGCTCTTTCCTATTGAGGAGTAGCCACAAACATTTTAATGCTGTCCGATAACCTCGTGCTAAAATTAAATGGAAGGCGGATACACGACTTTGAAAAATGACGATAAGTTTGTAAGTTTATCTTACGCTCTGGTGCTCTTAAGCTCCTTCCTCTCTTTAATAAAAATCCAGGCATGCCTAGATTTGGCAAAACGTCTATTATTATAAAAAATGAGACTGACAAAAACGATCCTTCAATGAATATTAACTTCGGTTCGTGTGTTATCAACCGCTACCTGGCTGCGTACAGAGTAGCAACTACAACATATTGTCGTAAACAGCTGTACACTTGCAAACAAACTACAAAAAGCCAAACCGTGATTCATTTATGTCAGGAAACATTATCAAACGACAGACAACAAGTCACGTAGACAAATTGCACACACTTTCCGTTTTGTCTCTCTGATGAAGCAAGTGAAACAACACGGGAACATTCCATCCTTCCATCAGCTTCGTTTCATTTCTTGCGGCAGTCAGTCATTCGTTTAAGAATCGGTGCCATCAATCAGACATTTTCAACTCACACTCCAGTGATGTTTACCAAGTAAGCGGGACTCAGGTCTGTCAACCTTGGAACGACATTATGCTTAGGAGAGACGAAAACACAGAAACATCATAACAGGGAAATAAAGTAATCACCTAAATTTAACAGCGCAAGTTTCTGAAATAGGTAGAATTTCCGTCCGTTAGGTTTAGAATGTATATCCATCAATAGCCTGTGAGCAGGCCTACATTAATGGCGTTCCGGCAACAGCGTATCCCCCCCCCGGAAACTATAAGGCCTTGCGCAACGCGAACTAGAGAGGGGTCTAGGGGCCAACCTCTCCCTGATTAGTCGCCCGTCTGCCCGCGGGCGGAGAAACGCGCGTCTTGCAGCGTTTATAATAAAGGCCTGTTCGCAGGCGAACCAACCAACCAATACTCTGCAACGTTAACAAGTAATATTTAATATTTAAATTAGACTGAACGGAGAAAAATGTTTCTGCTTCAGAATGAAAGTGTTTTGTAAATCTTGTACAAACTTGTTTAAATAACAACTGCGTTAACTCAACTCTACCGGTAACCCAACAACTGTGCTTACTTTGTTATGGCCTTCTGATCTGTATCCCCACACTTGAGAAGTTCTCCTCGAAATACAGAATAGCCTACAAATAAATACCAAAAGGCGTTATATAACTCCTTCTTTCCATTTGTTTCTTAAAAGAAATGTAAATGGTTGGTTTAAGAGGAAAAATGAAAGTCAGAGAGGGATGTTACTCATTTATACCGAGCAAGGAAAAAAGGAATCTATGGGAGATGAGTTCCTCCCCATAAATGCTGAGAACTCTTCTAAAAGGGAGAATTACAAACCTTCCGCGCTTCTTGATTGATAGACTTGACTTATTTGACGCAGAAATTCCGAAAACAACCTCATAAGGACAGTTTCATTCTACAATAGGAAGCAAAAACAAACAATATCAAACACGAGACTTAACGATAAACAATAAGTAGCCATGAAACCTTTTTTAAATCTGTTTTTTGCCCTTAGCCAGATGAGGAAAGGAATGTTAAACTAACTATACACTAAATGACTGTGACTATACACGATAGTCACTCTAACTATACACTACATGTAACCCACCCCACCCCACCCCCACCCTCTCCCCATCTTCAAACCTGAAAAAGGTCCTTAAACTACACCTGTACCTCGTTTTCATCTTCCCAGCTGTCCCAGTCAGAGAATTCTTCATTGTCCGCGCTTACTTCTGGGCTGGGCAATCGTGTTGTACCTCGACTACTCTCATGTGAAGTGTCTAGAGCTACTGACTCTTGCATTACACGACCAGCGTCTAAACAATCGATCAAAAGAAGACGTCAAAGACACCAAACTCGTTAACCCTTAAACCTGTAGACTAGTATTTGAGTGCAGCACTCGCCAGGAACCTTAACCGTTGAATGCGAATACAAATACCACGTTCACTTTTTGAACCATGCAATTGTGCACATGCGCTAATCTCGTTTCCCAGTTAAGAGCATGCACCTCTATTGGTCATTGACTAAAAAGAACTTGCTGCCTCTTGTTTTTTTGGACAGAAAAGTTGCTACAGCTCCTAAAGAGACCGTAACCACTCAGAAAAACTTGTTCAGCAATATTGAACCAAATGTATAAAACTAAAGTCCCCATCGATTTTCCCTGCGCATTGATTGACTGATCGGGAGATGATTAGCATAATACTAATTTTATCTCCCGGTAGCCAAAGAAAAAACAAAATGGCTGCATGAGACTGTTTGATCTGCGAGGTATTCAGCTTATATGGTACACACTGTACACGCCAAAACAGTTATTCGCCTAAGTGTCGGTGAAAGAGGTGGATACTCACCTCGCCGCCTTACTGCTCGGTGAATATCATTCGTTTTTCAACTCTGCTCTGAGTTCACCCTTCATTAAAAACTCTGCAAAAATTTGGACAGCCCCTTTCGTGTAAGGAACCAAACAACCCTCTTTTCAGGTCAGTTACATGTAAATTTCATGAGGCACTAACCAGGATCCTCCTCGTCTTCGCCTGTTATGACGAGCTCCTCAGCGGGACTGGTCGGTATATCGTTAGACAAGATCAGTAAATCAGGTGTCTCGTTCAACCTGCTGCTTCCTTCCTCCTCACTCATAAGACGCACCAAGTCAGGTTCCTGAGTACGAGGTAAGAAAAAGAGAAGTGAAGTTGGGCAGTTTCATCATGTTACGGCTTGAAGTTCGATCAACTTGCTATCCATTACTTTAAAAAAAACAAGAACTCCCTACTACATCAAGATATTTGACAAGATACTTGTTTGCTTTGCGGTGTATTGATATCGTAAGAAGTTACAGCTGAAGTCCGTCAACTGAGACGTAAGGTTAACATGAAAAGTAAACAAACAATAATTGGCCTACAACACAAATCAACTTGACACAGACAAAGATGTGTTGTGGAACAAAAGATTTATCAAACAAGAAGAGAAATTTTCCAATGGAGTCGATAGAACCGCACCATTGCATGGGTTTAACCTGACTACACCCTAAATCGGATAATGGTCGATAGACACCTGCGAACTTCTAATCCAACAAAGTAAAAACTAAAATCTCTCCATATTTGAACGCTCATATTTACTGGTGGCACATCGAGACTTGTTTTTTGGGTTCTTCATTGGCCCCTTGTCACAGTAACATTATCTTTTGAGTTTACATACAAGCCACAAAGTGGAAAACTTACATAGTCCAGCCTGTTACTGATGGCTTTGAACACAAAGCTGAGAAATGTGGGTTGATCAAGAAAAATGCACACTCTAATGAACACTTCTAGGACCTCTCGCACCACTTGTAACTCCAGTTCCTGGTGACGAAGTAGTAAGATGGGTAAACCTTAAATTCACTCTCTCATAGATGCTTTTTAATACAACAAATTGAAAAAGGAATTAAAAGGCCATTTCCGGCAATTTACATTATTTTTAACTCGCTGATTACGTATAAATGAGGGAATATCGTTTATCTCTTGATTAAATCACTTTCGATGTGGATCGCAACGTTTCGAATGCAGTTTGCTCCAAGAAAAGCAGAATGCAGTCGACATGTTATGATCCACATCAGAAGTGACAACATTGTGCGACAAACGACAAAACTTAATTTCTTGTGTAAGAATACTAGTTGGCAGGAGTTACCTTCGTGTTAATCACTTCTCTGAGGCCAAGAAGGGAAAAATCCAGATAGGTCTGCACCAGCGAGTGTAAATCGTCTCTGCAATAGAAAGAAATTTAGGACATTCATCATTGGGAAATTGTCAACGCTGGGTTCTTAGGCCATGGCATGAACTAGCCTGGGAGCTAGCTCCAACGGGGAGTGGGTAAGGGGAAGGGCCCTCCTAGCTAATATACCCGCGAGAGCACTTAAGCTGAGGCAAGGACTTATGCACCAATTAACTCGAAGATTCAACACCGCCCCCGGGAAACCCACGGGCAATTAACCGTCGTCCGTGCCCGGGGAGTGGAAATTTGAACCTTACCTCGGTGGAGTGGAGAATTTGAACCAGATCTTTCGAGTCTTTCCAGCGGAATTAACGTGTTTTATCTTTTAGTATGGAGGTGTTTAAAGGTAAAAAGTTCAGTTTCGCGAACAGATGGCTCAGAAGAAAAGGTTTACAGGTGAGTCACGGTCGCTCATATTTCCTTTTATCAAAATATTGAAACTCAAATCTGGCACTTGGGTGGGGCATTTGAACTCCATTTAGCCCGGGGAGGGAGGGAGGGAGGGGGTGATTTAAACGAATCAATCTTCAAAAGTTCAAATGCCCGGGGAGGTTGCCCGGAGGGGGAATGCTAAAGCTTCTAATTGATCAACGTAATAACTATGAGGATATTGACGAAGTGTTCTCACCCGGTGTCTCCCTGCATGTGCATTTCCTCCACCCGGTACAATATAATGTACAATCTGAAAAGGCAATCATGTTAAGTGTAACTAAAATGATAAATGAACGATCAATCGGTTGACTCACCATATAGACGTAGTCTCTATCAATTTTAGCGGCGACATTTCGACTGCAATACTGCTAGACTTCAAAAGTCGAATACCTGCAGTAAAGCAGTCGAAACGACGCGATCTACAATTAATCATGAGCTTATTGTGATACACATTCTTTTATAGTTATAACCATGAAAGACAAACACTTGTTAAGTAACCGTTATCTTGAAACGACTGCATTTCCAGTAGATAATTAGTATCTACTTTCGTCTCAGACAGCAAATGCCCATCAGTAATCACTTCTTTTTTTGTTTAGTGGCTTCAACAAACTCAGGTCGACTTCAACTAATTGAGCTTTCGGGTCAAAAGTCAATCAGTAAGGCGATTGCAGAGGAAAATGTATAGTTATGCAAATTTTTTAGCCACACGACAAAAAGTATTGAATATACTAACGAAAATCCCTTAAAAACTGGCTGCTCACCCATCCAGCAGTGCTCTGCACACGGCAGAATCCTCAAAGAATTGTGCAATATAATGAACTAGCACTGGGAAGATCATGATCTGTTTGATAATGAAAACACACACATTTTCAACTTCAAGATTGAACGCAGTTTGACTACCAGAACTCTGTTTTTCTCTCTAAAGCGAAGCCTTCCATCAAGACCATTTTAAAACGGAGTTCGAGCGGTCTGGATATAACCCTCCGCTTCTCCAAAAAAAGACACAAACATTAGCCCTTCTAATATAGAGGTTCGCCCAAACATATGAAAATGCTACATCAAAAACAACACCAGTAACAACGACAAAATAACAGCCCCAAAGCTGTGGAAGAGAAAAAAATAGTTTTCTCACCAACTGGTCAGCATCGCAATCTTTCAGGAACCTTGGGAGAACTGAATGTACTTCGGAGATCAGGAATTTGCTGGCCTACACAAAAACAGTTTTGGTGAAACCTTTTCTCTCTTTAAAAAAAGAGTTGACAACACTGATTCAATGTTAGGAACACAACAACGAGAAGTGAATACGAGAGCGATTCTCGTTGTAATGAACTCTACTTAAGCATTAGTGAAAATCAGGCCTGAAAACATTATAACATTATGACCAGCTTCCAGTTGGCTTGTCAGCTCAGTTGGTAGAGCACTGCACCGGTGCCGCGGAGGTCATGGGTTAATCCCATACAGGCCTGAATTTTTTTTCCAAGCCTTATTTTCACTACTGCTCAAGTAGTGTTCATTACTGCCAAGATCGCTTTCATATTCACTTCTTTATACGTATTTCGCACATATGATTTTCATATATTCACAGTTACAACACCGAGAGTTCGGAAGAAATTCGACACATAACCCTAGTACATCACAACATAATCAATTTAAGAGAAAGATGACGATATTAAGTGAATGACATATGCGTACTCGGACATAAAAAATTCGATTGCCCCCAGTAGGAGTGCAGCCTACGACCATCCGATTTGTACTTCGGACACTCCAATCTCGTTCTTATCGGAAATTCGTTAGCTCGACACGTATTGACAGCAATCGGACTTCTTTTTCTTCAAGTATGTCTTTGCCATTCACTGAATAAGATCATCCTTCACTTAGATCCCCCAAATAAAATTACTTTTAAGACGCAACAGTGTACAGTGCACGCAACAGTGTACGAAAACGTAAGATAAGCTCTGACCTGCAGTGCATGCTGTTGTACGGTAGCCGCTCTCGTTGAAAAACTGAAAGACAAACAAAATGGCTGCCTGACTGTTTGATCTGCTAGTTGTTCGGCTTGTGTGGTACTCACTGTACACGCCAGAGCAGTTATTCAACTCAGCGTCGGTGAGAGAGATGGATACTCACCTCGCCACCTTACGGCTAGGTAAATGCTCTTTTTCTTTTTCAGAAATGCAAACATAAAACCACCCATCTACAAAAAAACAATTATTGCATGCGAGCATGCCTATGTTAAACAAAAAGTTGAAAAAATGCAACGCATCAATACAAAGAATACTTACCTGAGAAAACCGTCGGACGGTGGAATATACGAAGAATCAGCATCCACACGAGATTGTTTCCTCAGCACAACCCCTGTTAGATAATGAAGATAGAACAATTAGGCACAACTCTTCAGACGACCACCGAAGATGATTTTTTCCTGACGTCATTGCAAGACACCAAAAAAATCCACAAACGTAGTGATTAACCCTTTAACTCCCAGTAGTGACTAACATCAAACTTCTCCTTAAAGTATTGCCACTGAATAACAAATCACGGTCATGAGAATATAAGAAATCATCACCAGTTAGAAAAAGTAAACTCTTGATTTGTAGACAAATTCTCCTGCCAATACCATGGGAAATGTAGAGAACAGTAGGGAGAATATGAATGCTGATGTTGGATTATAAAGGACTAAAGGAAAGATAGGCTTTCGAGAGAGCAAGTGCAGTTGAGCTTTGATGGTGACTTCCGTTGCTTATTTCCTTTTTTGATCTTTGCGGCTTGAAAGAGGAGAACCAAGCCGATAAAAAATGTTAAATCTCTGCAAGGAAATGGGGTGATCTTAAGAACGATCACAATTTGGCCTCATTCAAAACCCTTTCATAATTGCAATGAATTCAAACTTTGTTATCCATGCCGAGCTAGAGCTGATCCTTCAGCAGTAGTGCTGTGAGTATATTCAGTTCATAGATTAGTCGTAATTAAACAAGAATGTTTTATAAAACACACAAAATATCTAAACTTTTCGCACTGTTTGCCTAACATTTCTCAGAAACTTAGCCCTAACGATTTGGTATTTAGTAACAAACATGTCAAAATAACCAAAACTGATAAGCTGAGACAAGGCATTTCTCCTTAATTTTGGCAATTGTCGCGGGCAAAATTGCTTGAAATTGCAAATATTAAAAGAAGGCTGAACTTTTCCCGAGAGAATTACAATTTCATTATGGCAAATGTTTTGTTTTTAGCAGGACTGGTTTCCTACATCCTGAAATATTAAAATTAAAATCCAAAATTTACGGGGAAACACGCAATCACCCACACTAATGAAACAGTTTCCCCAGGAGATATTTTTCTTCCATTATACGTATGTATAACAATGGACAGATACCGTGAGGAGAAAACGCTTTTTGGTCACAGTATAATGATAACAACAACTTTATTTAAGGAGGGTAACACATAACAGTAATTCAACCAATGAACTAGAGGCCATCGATCCTGAAAGTACCATAATTAGAATTAAAATGTATTCGAGGATTAAAAAACTGGTCGACAGGTCTATAAGAATATAGGCAAAAAACTAGATAAAATAAAATATGCCGCTTGGGTCAGGCTAAATCGCATTCGGACTGAAATATTCTACTTCATCATAGCTTCCTAAGAGTTGAATCTGCTCTTACGAGCCAAACATCGACTAGGAAAAAAGGTTGGGGTAAGGGTTAGTACTTTTAGTCAGATTATATCTTCATCAAAATTATAGAAAAATAGAAATACTTTGCTACCAGGTGTTCGCTTCTATCGCGCTGTAGTTGCTAGTCAGTATTTTGCTCTCACCCCTCACAAATCCGAAAGAAAATAAGGTCAATTAATTCACATACCACCAAAAGTCGTAAATTTACTGAAATATCGCATTAAATCTCATTATTATGACCACAGTATACTTGTCGACATTTGATCAATCAAATTATAATTATAATGGAAGTGAATCATACTTCAATTGCCAAAACGGTTTTCCAAGTGTTTCGATTCTGAAAAACATCGACTTAAGCAACAGCTCCTTGTTCTCCTTGAAAGTTTCCCCGATTTTGAATAAACCGACTCTTTCACTCAACCATTTGCACTTCACGCTCAATTGCCGAATCGGTTGTTCATAAACCGGTTGGAAAGCGAGTCACGTCCTCACCGCGGAAATCAGAAAAAGTTCTACGTTCGCTTTGGGAGCGATTTCTGCGAAAACGCATGTTCCTCAAGATGTCTCTAACAGCATGTCGAAAGTGTCTCATCTTTAAACAGTAGATTACCGGATTCAAAGACGAATTAAGAAACACCAGAGTCCACGAACAAAGAAGAAAACCCTTTATCATAGTACTCCGCTCTAAAATTGCGGTTCCAATTAAACTGCCTCCTCTTGGCAAATAGCACACCATAAACACAACATAAACGTAGAATAAATTGACTGCTGATTTTGAAAGACTAGTTAAGTTTCTCATTTCACTGTTCGGTGCTGCTTGCTGCAACTGAAGGCCTCTAATCTGGTTTTTATGGCGTCGTAAAACCACAAAAATCTTGCAGTAGACCAAAGTAGTAAACATAAGGCAAATGGTTCCAACAAAGAATATAATAAGAGAACTTTCGCTCGGGAACCATGCTGGTGTCAAAGACAGCGAAGCACTGAAAACCCAAACGGTGATCACCACAGCAGCAACACGCCTGTGAGTTACGATTTCCCTGTATCTGAGGTGAAACTGAATCGCCATAAATCTGTCCACGCTTAAAAGAACAACACCAAAAAACGACGCCAATGCAAACAGAGACATGATCATGAAAAATATCTTGTAGGTAAAACAGCTGGGTTTGCTATAGTGTAGCCACTTCACGAGAAGAGAAATGTAAAATGGATGGACCACTAAACCGACTCCAACATCAGAAACAGCAAGACTTAAGAGCAATATTTTCAACGTTTTTGGCAACGACCAGGTTTTTCGTATTGCGTGGATCGTGAGCAGGTTTAACGCTACCGCTGCATGACAAAGAAAAACATTAAGCACCAAATTAACCACGAAAGTCAAGCGAAGATCTGCAAATTCGGAAAGCGCTGGGACGTACTGTAGGACCGCTTCGCAAGACGAGATCTTCATGTTATCGCTGCCTGTTGCAACAATTCAGTTAACGTCTTGCCTTTTTAAACAAAAATTAGTTGAATGACCTCACCCAATGATCCAGTTTAAATTTGCATAGCTAAGGTGATGTCAAGACAACAAATCAGTCATATGGGTGAATTCTGACAAAACTTCCTCACACGACATGTATATATTAACAATGTTCGCGGAATTCAGTATTAACAATATTTGGTGTTCTTTCACGATTACTCGCCAACTAAGGCCTGTAAGATTACCATACCCTTAATTAAAATAAACCGCCCCATAAAATTCAGAATTTCTCCTGATGGATAATAAACGATGTCATTGTGTTTAAACTGTGTTTAAATTTGTTTGAACGAAATCTCCCCGCCCATGATCTTTAATATCAGTCAAAAGTAAATGGCAGCACTTATGGAAGACCTTAACAATATTGTGTATAAAACTGACCGTTTTGCATACGAAAAAAAAAATTTATCTTCCAAATAATTAATACCGAATCAGCTAACCTTTCTTTTTAACGTGGGGACACCTGCTGCTAAACAAAGCCAAAACCGAGAGATTATTTACTCTAAATATATCTTTTTTAGATTTTTCTCGATGTTAATTTTTTTGCCCCCACTCTCTTCGAGAAAAAAAAACAAAACAATGAAGATTAAAAAGTAGCTTATGTAACAAATATTGCTCATCTATTCCATTTTCAGAAAAGCATCAATGCTGTGAAATCAAGATTGCTTCCTTTAGGTGATATCATCCAGTTAACAGTAAACGATTTGCATATTTTCAATATTTGACGAAGCAAACTAGGCTTAAAAGTTTCCTTTGATAACTTAAAATAATAGCTGATGCAACAAGACCGAAAATAAAAACAACTTTAAAATTTGAATTGAAAATTGCATCTCCTGGTTGATTAATTCAAACCACCGTAAAACCCATTTCTATACGTGTTAGTGCTCCGTGTTTCCTAGTTAATTTATCAAAATATCTGTAAAATAAACATCACTAGTCTGTTCTTTCCATTCGTCTGCACGTAACTTAAATCAACATCGTCCAAATCACAAGTAATTTTCCCCTCTCGTTCACCTGCAACACTTTAATCCACACAAATACTAAAGCGTCAAATTAAGAAATTGATCGAACCTAAGACTCTTAAGAAAGACCAGCGTTGTTGAGCTTTCATAACGCTAACAAACCCCGCGAGTTCTAGACATGACGACTGAAATTCACCCACTGAAGTCAATGTTTATTTCTCTATACCAAAGCTTGTAGCAGAAGTCAAATGAATCAATATGCGCGGACAACAATCGAATGAAATCGACAAGTCAAGATTGAGGAATCTAAGATTAAAAAGGGTAAAGAGGCAACAACTAAGAGGAAATCTCTTATGAAGTACAGCGAGCAAATGAACCGAAAAAAAAAAGCCTTCGCAATCGAGGGCAGTGAAAATATCATTCACCGCTCCTTGAGACACGAGACAAATTCTAATGAAATGGGAGTTCGAGTCTTCTGTATACAAAACCAACCGGAAAGAAGAAGAGGCTGAATCTCATCCTTAGAATGTTTTGCTCGAGAAGGTGTCTAGCGCTTTGTCTAAAAAGGCGTGAACGCATCTAAGAGAAAGTGTAGAGTGACATTTAATACTACCCACACGTTTGAATGACGTCGGGCGATCGTCAGGATAAGAGTAGTCCTAAAATGGACTGTTTCCTGTAGCAAAGGATAAGAGTAGTCCTAAAATGGACTGTTTCCTGTAGCAAAGGATAAGAGTAGTCCTAAAATGGACTGTTTCCTGTAGCAAAGGATAAGAGTAGTCCTAAAATGGACTGTTTCCTGTAGCAAAGGATAAGAGTAATCCTAAAATGGACTGTTTCCTGTAGCAAAGGATAAGAGTAGTCCTAAAATGGACTGTTTCCTGTAGCAAAGGATAAGAGTAGTCCTAAAATGGACTGTTTCCTGTAGCAAAGGATAAGAGTAGTCCTAAAATGGACTGTTTCCTGTAGCAAAGGATAAGAGTAGTCCTAAAATGGACTGTTTCCTGTAGCAAAGGATAAGAGTAGTCCTAAAATGGACTGTTTCCTGTAGCAAAGGATAAGAGTAGTCCTAAAATGGACTGTTTCCTGTAGCAAAGGATAAGAGTAGTCCTAAAATGGACTGTTTCCTGTAGCAAAGGATAAGAGTAGTCCTAAAATGGACTGTTTCCTGTAGCAAAGGATAAGAGTAGTCCTAAAATGGACTGTTTCCTGTAGCAAAGGATAAGAGTAGTCCTAAAATGGACTGTTTCCTGTAGCAAAGGATAACGTTTCAAGTGCCATGAAGTCACAGTCACTTGTCTCGTTTTCCTTATAACGTTTTCATATAAAAAAGCAAAAATTGAAATACAAAAAAAAGGGAAAAAGACAAATAGGAGTTAATTAGCATTTAAAACTTCCCCCAGGCTATATGCCCGCCAGCGACCAATTTTCCCAGAATTTCCACTGAAATAATTATTCTCTTAAACTTCTTGGGCGTATGAGATTTAAGAGATTTCAAGCGACTCCAAAAGATTTAAAAAGAAAAAAATATATACATAAATATATGTTAGTGCCGTATGCTCACGCTGTTTGCTAATGAATTCGAATTTGGCTCATAGCTTTTTCCTTTTTATATAACGTTACTGCAATTAGTTGCACATCGCTCTCTCGCGTTTCTATGCATATTGATAAAAAACAGTCAAATCGACTCACCTATAGGACTTTCTGGATACGAATGGGCATAAAGAAGGAGTATTTTGTTTAAAACAATTTCTTCCCCTCTGAGTTTCTGTCAGGAGAACAAAAATGGAAGTTTGATTGTTTTCAAAAAAGGGGTAATCACTATCACTGGTAAACACTCAGAGTAAACATGCTGAAGGAGGACACCCAGAACTGACTGAGGTTTCGAAACAAGCGGCAGATATGAACTAAGAATAATGAAACAATGTCAGTATCTGAACAAATGCGCAACAACAATCAACTGATAACAAGTTAGAGTTTAAGTGGGGTTAGACTGTTAAGGGAGGGGAAGGTGCGCAGTTGCTCAGAATCTGACGTTGATCCAAAATAGTGCAGTATAAAACAACTTCAGTTGACCCTCACAGATCCTCATTTTGCATGAGGCAGTATCTCTCTAAAGCAACAAAACTATGCCATCACAAATGATCACACTCCACAAAGTGGAACCTATAAAATCACAAAACGCTTTCTGAAATAAAAGAGAACATTTTGTATTTGCAAGTAAAAGGTGGTTTATCGTCGGATGTTGCTAGTATTCCACCCTTGGAGTTTCTACAGATCCACATATTTTCAAATAAGGAGGAAAGATCATTTCTATCTTAAAGAAAACAAGGAAAAAGTTTACAGGAGATGACTTCATATTCAAGACTTCTCAGAGTCCCGACACTAGCTCCTTTACCTAAAGAAATTTATTAAAATTTAACGCCTTTAACGACCTTGCCAATAGATCAGGCGAACTTTTTCCCGCTTTTTGTCGAGCGAACGCAAGAACGACCTAAACGCCTCGAGCGAGTTGTGCACGCGAGGAAAAGGGCGAAAGAAAAATCGCCTTTGCAAATGCATCAAGACGTTTCTCGTTAACAATATGGCAGCTCCTCCACGCGTGCGACTAACCCTTCCTGCGCACTTCGCGCTTGTATTCCCTCGCCTGAATTGTGCGAATGTACAGTAATGCATGATAATGACGCCTGTTCTGCAGGCTCTCATTGGCCAATTATCTCAATTTTATAACCTGGTCAAAGTTGTCCGGTTCATAAGGAAAACAAATGTGAGACATCATAATCGTTTCCATGGCGACAACTGACAGCTTATCAAAACATGGATCTGTGAATAGATCGTACACCTGCATGGAAAAGATTTAAAAGAGGAGAGAGAACATAAGATTCTAAACAGTGTATTTAATCATTTTGTTTTAGTTACATAAAATAACGAGCTCTTGACACTTAACCCTCACTTTCAGTCTTTTCCCTTCCTTTTAAGCCAATAAACCACGGTGAATGAAAGGGAAATCAAAATTCTCTAACTTGGCCAAATGGACACTTAATTTTTCCGAGGCCCACTGATTTTTCTCGGCGAATCAGATTAGAGTTCATTCAAAACCCACCCTACTTAACCAAAACTAGTGGTGCTTAAACTTGGTTTGTTCCTAGTAGTCTAACTGATAGGTCGCTAAAGCGAAAAGTTTTGACAATGGTGGGCAACTATGTGGGCTATATTTAGTAGACTGCAAACCCACCTGATGTAGCCACCTCTTCAGCCCTCGTTTGATTTCCTCCACAACTGTCAATGCAGCCCGACCACAGCTCTCTGGATCCTAGAGACCGAAAAAAGGTTGAACTTTTTAAGATCAGTCACTGCGTAAATCACTGTCTATAACAACATCCACATCAAATCCTTTCATTTCCAAAGCAGATCAAACACGGACACATAAATGTAAAAGGAAAGTCTGCACAATTGGCTGACTCATCACAGCCACAGGAGCTTATCCATCCGTAACATGGAGCAATCTGGAGCATTGGTACTCCTGTTAAATGGGATGCCAGTGCAGTACTACATAAGGGACCTTCCGCTATCACGACGACAACGCCGAGGAAAACACTGACTAAAAATATGGAAAAATATTTCTCTGAAATATTTTGCGTCATAAATGACACCAGACCTTCACTTCAGAATAAGATGTGAAGGCGTCATTGGTTTCCAAGAAGAAATGCACATAATTTGCTGTTGGAGTTTTCGCTCTCAGACCAAACAAAATTTTGGAAATTTTACTACAATTATAAGCAGATAACAACAATCAAAGCTTTCTTCCAGCTCATTAGTCTTTTGTTTTAGCGCGCTTTCGTTGTCATCGCCTTCCCAGTTTGCGCAAACTCCTATTTGTGTGTCGTGACAGTTCTTTAGCCATAACACTGCCTTGTCTACAATACCTTCCAACTCGGCGGAGGCTGCTCCAAGAAATGCATCAGGCGACCAGCA